GATTCAAGATCCGGGAGTCGGGCTATAGGTGTACGTGTATTGCAGTAGGCGCATACACCTCCCTTAGAACGGAAGTACTGTAGGTATAAAGGTTGTAGTTAGAGACTTGAAAAGGTTTGGGTGAAGCTGCTTTGGTCAGTTGAAGTTCGGAGAGTAGTAAGAGGTCGGGGGAAGAGGGTGATAGATGGTGCTCCACAGAAGAAATATTGGATCTCAGTCCGCGAATGTTGGAAAAATGAAGTGTGAAAAAAGCCGATCCTCCAGCAACCGCGGTGGCGTCAGTTGAGCCCCAGTAGCTTGGTAGTGATCAGGTCGGCCCTGGGGTCCACAACCTTCCCGACCAGTGGGACCCATCCGAGAAGGCCCCGCTTCAGTATTAATATCAACTGACATAGGAGGATAAAATAGAATGAATAAAGCAGATCAAGAATGAGTACGGTTTTATTAGTGGTGTTGTCAATAGTAAGAGAGACAATTGAGACCCTGCAATTGTGTGTAAATGAGGCAGAAAGATAGATCAGCAACCTGGGACTTGGTCACAATTTTCGTGATGCCATATGGCAGCAGGGTCTACCATCAGACAACACATTATGCTTCCAATATCTTCCCAGGCGGTAGTACCTCCCTGTTTGGTAGCTGCCTATTACCTACTACCCTGGGTCTAAGGATGTTTAGTTCTTTTGGTGCTGGCCGATGGAGTTCTACTGTTAAAAGCATCCTTTAGGACAGTCAGTTCCAAGACGCCTGTTGGTGGATATACTCAGTTAGCTAGACGCTTGCCAGTGGATACTAAGTTTTAAATCGTTTGCCTGTGGATACTAAGTTTTAAATCGTTTGCCTGTGGATACTAAGTTTTAAATTGTTTGCCTGTGGATAGTCAGTTATAAGATACTCTGTGGTGGGTGCTCAGTTTCGAAACGTTTCATAAAGTATATCTCAACATTTGCTGGTGAACTCTGACTTAGCTATTTCTTACTGACAGTCATTCAGCTCGTTGACATTTACAGGCGAAGTAATAGTCATCTGATGTTTGTTTTTTTTGTTTTTTTTTACTTGATAATGATTACTGAAAATTACGTCATCTGTACACTTCCTCAAGACCCTGAAATTAGCGTGAGGTTAATAGGCCTCGTAAGGTTGTGTGATGTCACTAAGGCAGGTGATGACTTGCTGGTAACGGGTCGACGCCTGCTGGCGGGGACGAACAGAAGGTCAGTTGCACGTTCAGTAAATGTTAGCGTCGCAAAAAGGTAATATAACTAGAAGTGAGAACACGTATGGTGTAGGTTAGGTTCTGTTAGGGTACGTTACGTTACGTTACGTTACGTTACGTTACGTTACGTTACGTTACGTTATAAGATGAAGATTATTATTATGATTAAAATATTGATGGTGCTGAAGATAATAATGATAATACTACGGAGCCCGTATCATCATTGGGTATGACTTTGCTTGGGAGATTAGTATCCCCGCATCCCCTGAGCAACGCTCTTGTGCATTATGCAGAAGACCCGACAGCAGCACCCTTATCCACTACCTCCTAAGATGTCCCCACACACAACGCTTCCGTGACGCCTGCTGGACCACCACTCCACGACCCCCTGACGGAGACACGATGATCCTCCCCATACTGGCCAGATATTTTGTAAATAATATTGATTATGTGTTAAAGGAATATCCTTCCTTCCTTAGGCTTTAGTAAGCCCCTTTATAATATTTATACTGTATATACTTGTCACACTTGCCAGATGCTTCTGGTGTCATTGTACAGGGGTACCTAGTGACAGCACTAGGATCCCGCTTCCTCTATCAAGGAATAAACAATTGAAATTGAAATTGAATTGATAATACTAAATTCTGATGAAACATAAGAGCGATTATGTTACTGATGTTGATACGATTATTGTGTCGAAATAATAATAATAATAATAATAATAATAATTATAATAATAATGATAATAATAATAATAATAATAATATACCTTCAACACTTTCCTTTGTCGGACAAGCAGATGTCTTCAGAGTAAACAAAGTGTGTGTTTGTGTGTGTGTGTGTGTGTGTGTTGTTTTAAAACACAGACACAGATTAGATAAAATATACTGCATATATCTATGTTTACTGTTAGACTTTACCTTTACCATACACTACGGTACAGTATAGCATCCCCTCCTATCAGTGTTGTCGGGCCAATGAAGGTCACTCACAGAGCCACTCGCTAATACATATTTTAATCTTACAATTTTCGTCCACGTTTGAAAATATATCAGACTTAATCAGACATACAATCTAACACCAATACCCATGAATTTATTTAGTTTATTTTGTTTTGATCTATTCAGACATTTACCGTAACATAGGTTATGAATTATTCGAACATTCTTCTCTGCACTCAGGCACTTTACACTCGTAACTTCAACTACGGCTTATTAATTGGCTATTAACACACTGAAAAATATCATTCCATTACAAGCTGTTAATAATCCTGAAGATTCACTACAAATGGAAACTAAAAACTAAGGTCCTAGTTTTTTATGAACTGTCTGTGAGAGCTGGAGAAAATGTAAGGATAATGTTATATTACTCCGCTTCAACAACTCAGGCCTCTAAGAGTGTATCTATACAGTCCTACACTAGGTATGTATTTACACTGATCGTCAATAAAAACCATGACATTTCCTTGCCTCATAATTCACTGTAGTGTTTTTTTAATGTGTGTTGTCGTACGTAATATTAGTAATATTAGCCAAAAACAAAAATTACGAGATTGATTTTTTTTTATTTTTTCTTGTTTTGGTTGTGGTATCATCCCTGGCATTTCAATACGGGAATTTTCTTAAACTTTGAGTGACTCCAGCCTTGACTATAATATTTCACAAATATTCATGCAACCACATTTAACTTTTTTCTTTTCTTTTGTTTTTGTGCTTGTTAGTTCTGGGAATTCCCGCTACCTTCCACTTCATTAAAATGGACAAAAACTCGACCGTCTGTTCACTCCCTCAATTCTTAACAAATGGCTTTTGGCGTCTGTGTCCCTAATAGGTCCCAGTCATAATGGGTCTCAGATATAATGGGTCTTAGTCCAATAGGCCTCAGTCATAATGGGTCTCAGACTTAATGGGTGTGAGTCCAATAGGTCCCAGTCATAATGGGTCTCAGACATAATGGGTCTTAGTCCAATAGGTCCCAGTCACAATGGGTCTCAGACTTAATGGGTCTTAGTCCAATAGGTCCCAGTCATAATGGGTCTCAGATATAATGGGTCTTAGTCCAATAGGTCCCAGTCATAATGTGTCTCAGACTTAATTGGCCCTAATCATCGTGTTTAGGTTACGGCGGTGTCAATTAGGACTGGAGGCCGTTTGATCCGCAAGTGATTTTTCTACAGCTTTTCTAAGCAACTTCGAGGCCAAAGGTTAGGTTAGTTAGGTTAGGTTAGGTTTTTATTTATGATTAGCTCTACCTGGGCACAGGTCAATGACTCCACATCAGGGCTTAAGAAAATATAATAATAATAATAATAATAATAATAATAATAATAATAATAATAATAATAATAATAATAATAATAATAATAATGATAATAATAATAATAATAATAATAATAATAATAATAATAATAATAATAATATTAATATTATTAATAATAATAATAATAATAATAATAATAATAATAATAATAATAATAATGATAATAATAATAATAATAATAATAATAATAATAATAATAATAATAATAACAATAATAATAATAATAATAATAATAATAATTAATATAAATTTATACAAATATTAAAAAATTAAAAAATAAATAAAAAATATATAATATAATAATAATAATAATAATAATAATAATAATAATAATAATAATAATAATAACAATAATAATAATAATAATAATAATTAATATAAATTTATACAAGTATTAAAAATTAAAAAAATAAATAAAAATATATAATATAATAATAATAATAATAATAATAATAATAATAATAATAATAATTATAATAATAATAATAATAATAATAATAATAATAATAATAATAATAATAATAATAATAATAATAATAACAATAATAATAATAATAGTAATTATTATTATAATAATAATGATAACAATAATAATAATAATAATAATAATAATAATAATAATAATAATTATTATAATAAAAGATCAAAAGTGAGAAACAATATATGTATGTTGTGTTGTCAATAGTTAGAGAAACAATTGAGATCCTGCAATTGTGTGTAAATGAGGCAGAAAGTCAGATCAGCAACCTGGGAAAAAGTGAAATGAGTCTCCATGCACAGATTATGATTCTTCCCGCTTCAACATAAAGTCAAAAGTAGGTATTTTTTTCCTACCCAGCAACAAAAAAAAACAAAAAATGCCCATGTACAATTACTATTGTTTTTATTTATTATTTTTTTTGGGGGGAGGGAGGGGGGGAGGGGGGGAGGGGGAACTCCACCAAAGACATTATAGTAAAAGCGGCATGGCACTGTCTACCCCCTACTCTCGGATGTTAATAACTTCAGGCCGTAAAGCTTATAATCCCAGCAAGTCTTACCTGTTATCAATCTTGTCTGCTTGTTTCGCAAATCATCCTATTACTACCCATGAACACTGTTATACATTTGGGGTCGCAACTTTATCAGCAAAATCAATGCTAAAAAAAAAATAAAAAATTTCCACACATCCGGAATATAAACTTTCAACAAGATCGATGAAAAACTCCAAAACAGGAATAAAACCCAGACAAATCCGGGTCCAAAAACGAGTACATCCTACGTTAGGGAAAAACTCGGGGGGCAAAAACTGACATATTATTGGCCTTCAAGGGGAGAAGCTGAGACCAAAGCAGCCTTGGAGGGGAGGGTAGGGAGGGAGGGGCGATTGGTATCGTTAAGGTAGGAGGGAGAGAGGTAGGGAGAGAGAGAAGGAGAGAGAGAGGGAGGGAGGGGCTATTGGTAGCATTGAAGCGAACAAGGTGGGAGGGAGGAGACACGAAGGTATATATATAAGAGGTAGACTAACACCCACCGTCCGGAGACTTACTCAAATGTGTCGCCACGGAGGAATGGTAAAGTGTGGTGGTGTGTGGTGTTATGGTGTGGTGGTGTGTGGTGTGGTAGTGTTGTGGTAATGTTGAGGAGTGTGGTGTTATGGTGTGGTGGTGTGTGGTGTGGTAGTGTTGTGGTAATGTTGAGGTGTGTGGTGTTATGGTGTGGTGGTGTGTGGTGTGGTAGTGTTGTGGTAATGTTGGAGGTGTGTGTGGAAGTTACAGTGGTGTGTGGTGTGGGTAGTGTTGTGGTAGTGTGGTGGTGTGTGGTGGTGTGTTGTGGGTGGTGTGGTGGTGTGTGGTGTGGTGTGGTGGTAGTGTTGCGGGTAATGTTGAGGTGTGTGGTGTTATGGTGTGGTGGTGTGTGGTGTGGTAGTGTGTTGTGCTAATGTTGAGGTGTGTGTGTTATGGTGTGGGCAGGTTGTGTAGTGTTGAGGTGTGTGGTGTTATGGTGTGGTGGTGTGTGGTGTTATGGTATGGTGGTGTGTGGTGTGGTAGTGTTGTGGTAGTGTTGAGGTGTGTGTAGTTATGGTGTGGTGGTGTGTGTGGTGTGGTAGTGTTGTGGTAGTGTTGAGGTGTGTGGTGTTATGGTGTGGTGGTGTGTGGTGTTATGGTGTTGTGTGTGTGGTGTGTGGTAGTGCTGTGTGTGGTGTTATACAGGTGTGGTGTTATGGTGTTGTGGGTGTGTGGTGTGGTAGTGTTGTGATGTGTGGTGTGGTAGAGTTGTGGTGTGTGGTATTATGGTGTGGGAGTGATGTGGGTGTGGTGTTATGTGTGGTAGTGTTGTGGTGTTATGGTGTCAGTGGTGTTATAGTGTGGTGGTGTGTGGTGTTATGGGTGTGGAGTGTGAAGGTGTTATAGTGTGGTAGTGTGAGTTATAATTTGTGTGTGTGTATGTGGTGTTATATGTGGTGGTGTTATAGTGTAGTAGTGTGTGGTGTTATAGTGTGGTAGTGTGGTAGTGTTATAGTGTAGTAGTTTGGTGGTGTTATAGTATGGTGGTGTGTGGTGTTATAGTATGGTAGTGTGGTGGTGTTATAGTGTAGTAGTATGGTGGTGTTATAGTATGGTGGTGTGTGGTGTTATAGTATGGTAGTGTGGTGGTGTTATAGTGTAGTAGTTTGGTGGTGTTATAGTATGGTGGTGTGTGGTGTTATAGTATGGTAGTGTGGTGGTGTTATAGTGTAGTAGTTTGGTGGTGTTATAGTATGGTGGTGTGTGGTATTATAGTATGATAGTGTATGTGTGGTGATAAAGTATGATGGTGTATGGTGATATTGGGAGGGTAATGTGACAGTATTGGTAATGTTAACTTTGTACCAATGTTTACACCATGGTATTGTTTACATCATGGTGGTGTTAACTTCCTGGTATTGTTTACATCATGTCGGTGTTAACTTCCTGGTAATGTTTACATCATGGCGGTGTTAACTTCCTGGTATTGTTTACATCATGGTGGTGTTAACTTCCTGGTATTGTTTACATCATGTCGGTGTTAACTTCCTGGTATTGTTTACATCATGGTGGTGTTAACTTCCTGGTAATGTTTACATCATGTCGGTGTTAACTTCCTGGTATTGTTTACATCATGTCGGTGTTAACTTCCTGGTAATGTTTACATCATGGTAGGTGTTAACTTCCTGGTAACTACATCATGGTGGTGTTAACTCTGGTAATGTTTACATCATGGTGGTGTTAACTTCCCGGTATTGTTTTCATCATGGTGGTGTTAACTTCCTGGTAATGTTTACATCATGGTGGTGTTAACTTCCTGGTATTGTTTACATCATGTCGGTGTTAACTTCCTGGTATTGTTTACATCATGGTGGTGTTAACTTCCTGGTAATGTTTACATCATGGTGGTGTTAACTTCCTGGTATTGTTTACATCATGGTGGTGTTAACTTCCTGGTATTGTTTACATCATGTGGTGTTAACTTCCTGGTATTGTTTACATCATGGTGGTGTTAACTTCCTGGTATTGTTTACATCATGGTGGTGTTAACTTCCTGGTAATGTTTACATCATGGTGGTGTTAACTTCCTGGTATTGTTTACATCATGGTGGTGTTAACTTCCTGGTATTGTTTACATCATGTCACTTGGTAATGTGGTGTATTAACGGTAATGGCTGGTGTTAATTTACATAATGTTTACATCATGGTGGTGTTAACTTCCTGGTATTGTTTACATCATGGTGGTGTTAACTTCCTGGTAATGTTTACATCATGGTGGTGTTAACTTCCTGGTAATGTTTACATCATGGTGGTGTTAACTTCCTGGTAATGTTTACATCATGGTGGTGTTAACTTCCTGGTATTGTTTACATCATGGTGGTATTAACTTCCTGGTAATGTTTACATCATGGTGGTGTTAACTTCCTGGTAATGTTTACATCATGGCGGTGTTAACTTCCTGGTAATGTTTACATCATGGTGGTGTTAACTTCCTGGTAATGGTAATGTTTATGTCGTAATGTTTATGTCTGTGTCACTACATGTTTTGTTTATGTTCCTGTAAGATTCTGTGTCTCCTGCAGTGATCTGTTAGTAAGGACTCACAAGTGTTAAACATTCACGAGACAAAGTTAGCACATAAACTATAACATAATTTCCACCGAGACTCTACCATAACTAGACGTGTTGGTTGGTGTTAATTTGCGATTATTAAACGTACACACCTGGAAGTAACCCTTTTTATTCAGTGACATATAAACGACATTTAACTACCAGGAACAAGACTCCCCAAGGTGCATGCATGTCCTATAGTATTTCTCAAGATACTGAAGAGAGATAAAAAAACCAAGCTACTTTTTGTTATCTGTTGTTGACAAAAGTGGTTTATGTGGGATGTAAAAAGTGGTAAGGCAACGGTGCGCTAAGAGGAACTTTTTTTTGTGTGTGTATTATATCAACTTTGAGTGAACGCTTTTGTTCAGCTTGACTTGTTCACTTACCCACTGTTGTAAAAAAAAATATGGTTTCCTGTTGGTGCTAATATCAAGGTTATGACTTCGTTGTATTGATAACGACGGACCATTCTATGATATGACTTGCCTCAGGGTGAAGCGTGGATTTACCCATAATACTACTACTAATAACTACACAAATAATACTACTACTAATAATAATAATAATAATTAATAATTAAGCGTCTTAGAGAGTTAAAGGCTGGGGGAAGATTTAGACAGACATAAACTTTCAGTACAAAAAACTTGACGTGACCAAGCAAGTAATCTTTGACTCGGTGATAAGATGCTGTTGTAAAGAACGAGACGTGTTCGTAGTATACCTGTACCTGCCTTACTGGTGGTGTTGTGGAGGATAGCAAGTGGTGACAGTACGTGTTGTCCTCCCCATTGTGTGTGTGTGCATTAAATATAGAGGTAATGTTCGTGTGCGTGTGTGTGTGTGTAGAGGTGGTGTACACAGGTATAAGCATCGTGTGTAGGTGGTGAACGCGAGTGGTATACGTACGTAGGATGGTGTAGGTGTAGGATGGTGTAGGTGTAGGATGATGTAGGTGTAGGATGGTGTAGGTATAGGATGGTGTAGGTGTAGGATGGTGTAGGTGTAGGATGATGTAGGTGTAAGATGGTGTAGGTGTAGGACTCCCAAGCGACCACATAATGAACACACACTTTCCTAAACTGATTCGAGGTTCAACTGAGGTCAAGATGTTGGGTGAGTGGAGGGTGAGAGTGGTGTAGCCACTTTTTGTTTTAGTCCTCACCCGCCCACCTCATCCACAAGCAGCCACTAACACTTATAAACACAACATAAAACATATAAAAGCAGCTGAGCAGTACCAAGAAACAAGGCTTTTAGATTACTGGCAGGAGAAATTCAACATTCTGCAAAGTGGTAATGCTGCATCCTATAGTTGATCTCTTTACTGATCAGGCGGTAAAGTTGTTCAGAGAGGCAAGGTTAACGGTATTTATGTTGTCTGTTGAGATAATTGCCACACGTCTATACTATTCGGGTTAGCTTAAGCCATAATGTTACGAAGGAGAAGACACAAACCTGGGATAAGTAGTTTGGGTCGCAGGGTTACGACAAGCTGTAGGAGTCGAGAAACAACAACTTTCTATTATCCTGGGAACGACACTGTTTAGAACTTACTTCACAGATATACGAATGATTTGCATAAACTTTCCAAATGGTCGCTTAACTGACAAATATAATCTTGTATGGTAACGTGTAAGACTTTTTTCATGAGGGGGAACGCGACAGAAAAACGACAAGAATGAAACTCGAGAAAGATAAGCAGGACCATAATGCTGTATTCTTAATATGATTTTGATCCGCTGAGTCATTCTCGAGGGAGTGAATGAGTGAAAACGAGTTTGTCGCCTTGAACACAGACTGCTCTCAACTCTGGTAAATATAAACGGAATGTAAATATCATCAAATTAAGCTTAAATATTGTTAATTTAAAGCTGTTTACCAAATTCCATTAAGCTTTGTCTAGGATGTTTCAAGAGGAAGTGAAGCCTTAGTGATGAATTATTATATAAACACCAAGTATTTCCTCTGGACAAATGATCACGTATGTAAGTCCAAATCCAAGCACTTCTGCACATTTAGGTTAGGTTAGGTTAATAAAGCCCTCTTCAATTCCTGTGGATAACAAAAGAAGGTCCATTTGATCATTATAGTATATGACATGAGCACATCCACTTAATTTTCTATTGGATGCAGGTCCATCCACCTGCCATGAACTCCTACTATTTTCAAATTTCCTCACCAACCCCAAGTTCCTCCAAAATCCACCATTAGTCTTCAAGTCCAGTTCTCTTACCACCAATCTACGCACCAGCGGTTTTAACACAGATTAATTAGATCTTCCTCTCCATATAATGTTCCTACTATTACTTGTGCTAAAACCCTACATAGTTTGCATATATTATTACTAAATGGGTTCTATATAAATTTGCACTTCCTTATCCAAAACGATTATAGAGGTTTTATGCATAAAATATACTACAATATACTATTTCTACTATAAAAATAATTTCTTTTCTCAGATGCCGAGGGTGTTAGCGGCGTTGGTGGTGGCGCTAGCGGTGGTATGGCAGCCGTCAGGAGCGTGGCCACAGAGCGTCCAACCCAACGAAAGATACATTCCCAGTAAAGGCGACCCGAGCCTTCCTCAGGTGCATCCAGAAAAAGGGGGGGTCACTGCTAATGCTAAAGATCGAAACTCTCCTGTAGGACCCCCCGTTTTGAATGGTGACACACCGGCAGTAAACATCGATGAGTCAGCAGTGAACGACGCAAATGATAATCAGCCACCAACAGTTAGAAATTTAGGCTCTAACTTCGGTTTCTCTTCAAGGACTGGTGCAGCCGCTGCACCAGGATATACTGGATTAACAAGAAGATCTGCCGCTATTGAATCCCCTGAATTATCAACTGGACCTCGCGCTGCATTTCTAACAGATTCTGAGCCAGACATCGTGATTGGATCTCCAGGATTCCCAACGGGACCTGGTGGCGGCTTTGGACCAGGAGGCCCCCCTCCATATTTAACGGATTCTGACGCAGACATCGTGATTGGATCTCCAGGATTTCCAACGGGACCTGGTGGCGGCTTTGGACCAGGAGGCCCCCCTCCATATTTAACGGATTCTGACGCAGACATCGTGATTGGATCTCCAGGATTCCCAACGGGACCTGGTGGCGGCTTTGGACCAGGAGGCCCCCCTCCATTTTTAACGGATTCCGACGCAGACATCGTGATTGGTTCCCCAGGATTCTCAACAGGATTTGACGATAACATTGGGGTGGGAATTCCTAGTGTGTCAATTTCTAGTGGAACCGAATTATTTCCTTCAGGGCTTGACGTAACTTCTGGGATAGGCGCTCCAGGAATTGCCACTGGTTTTGGGACAGGAGGGTTTGGTGATGATTTAGGAGTTGGTGTTGTCTTTGATGGTGATGACGCAAAGATCCATTTACCTGGGTCCTCCTTCTCCGGCGATGACGTTATTATCCCTATATCCAGTCAAGGCAATCACCATGTACAAGCCACTGGTCCACGTTTCTCTTCAGGTCCAGATTTTGACAGGTTGGATACTGCGGGGGCTTCAGGTCAGAGAGACTTTGCAAATAATCCAGTTAGTAATGATGGCCGAAGCCTTGGTAATGGCAATTTTGCAAGAGATGATGACAGAAATGGCCAGGGTGGTCTCTTAGGAGGTATTGCTAATATTGTTAAAGGGGCTCTTGGCGGTAGAGGGCATTCGTCGTCTGGTGGGGGTGTCCTGCGAGGCCTGCTTTCATCCATCGTTGGCCGCGGTAGTAAGAGTAATCCTCTGAGGGCACTTGGGCTAGGCCCAGAAACTCTCAGTTCCTTTGCCCAATTAGCCTCTTCTAATGTAGATGATATCAGTCGTAGCTCCAATTTAGGACTGAGATTCATTGGAGATGAACTTCAATTTCAGGGAGAAGAAAAAATTAAGGATGTTTTTGATGGTGTCCGGGAGGCAGGATTAACCGCCGCGATTGTAGGACAAAACTCTTACCGTGGGTTGCTGCGAGGAAGAGGTTCCGTGGGTGACTTGGCAAAAGGTACAGCGACGAACGTAGGTAGGTTCGCTGAAGACACAGTTGGGGCAACGTATGACAGGGTCGAAGACACTCTTGGTGCGTTCGGGCGACTTGCCCGTGATCTAAAATTAGCGTTCCTTAATTCTTTGATCACTAAAGGACAAGCTACAAGAACGTTGGTGAGTGACCAGTCTGAGACTAAGTCGAAAGCCGTCGAAGGTATTATTTCAAATAAGAAGGCAGTCGCGACCGACAACATACGCGCCATAACAGGAGCATTCAGAGATTAAAACAAGAGGTCAAGTCTTTAGACATTTATGAGATGTAATGAGCTACTGAAAACCTTGATGTCAATTCAGTATTAGACAAGCCACTGGAGAATGTGTGTGTGTGTGTGTGTGTGTGTGTGTGTGTGTGTGTGTGTGTGTGTGTGTGTGTGTGTGTGTGTGTGTGTTGCCAGTAAGCCAAAACATTAAGCTTCTGATCTTCTTGCACTAGTCCTGTACTCTTGAACCGAGTTGCAAATATAGTTAGTGGACGGGATCAAGTTACTGCAGCTAAAGTATATTTTATCGCATTCTTCACCTGACTCATACAGCTAATGTATACAGTACTTAATAAATATCATACACTTACAGCATATACAGTATAAACGTTTTCATGTATGAGTATATTCCTATATCGCAAATTCTATGGATAAAATTTGGCGTAAAATATTTAAAAATTTAATTCCTTGTGTCTGATGTAATATGTACCGTTGCCTCCACATAACGAACCACGGCCTAAGTATGTGGGATGGAGTTTATTGGTTGAGGTTCATAAACAACGACTAGTGTTTTCCTGGGTTGAGAGACGCTGTTACTGCCGCCACCTCCTACAACTGCTTTAGTCACTGATGAGAGAAATAAAGCTTTTAATAAACTGACGGGAGTAATTTTTTTATTATCCTTGTGTTCAACGATTATGTATCAGACGCCTACATCGTCGAACTTTAAGTAAACCAATGACACGGTTCCTTCCATCACCGGTTAGGGAAAGTTTTAAGTTTTAATCTGTGAAGTTTTCAATATCCGGAACTTTATCAAAACACACAGACGAAGTTAATGTCAGTCAACCCCATTCCAGTCACATTAGCTTAATTGTATAACTGGTAGTTTAACTCTAATTAATATTTAAAATGTGAGATAGTTAGAGAACATCCCGTTAAGTTAAACGATGTCAAATTGCTGGTTTCATCTATTATCAAGTTAGATTGTAAATGGCCTGTGACAACTGGTAAATGAACCACTGAACGCTTAAAACCTGCTCTGCCGTACTTATTAACTAACAGATTTCTACTTATTCCTAAGAAAATCAAGAACATGTAATTAATTTAAAAGGCACGATTAACCTATTTAACTACCACCCCCTAGATGTGAGATTAAGCTGACCATTACTATTAATCTATTTATATACCACCAGTTATATCACAGCAATTTATCCAGTCAACACTACAGTTTTGTTATATCTATTTATGACTTTACAACACACTTGTATTATTCTTTCATTCAGACAACTCAAAGCGACTAACATAGTGTTTTTTATATCACCAAACAAATATTCAACAAAAATAAGCAACCTTGCTGTAAAAAAATATAACAGATCTTTAACTAAGGAACAAGGAAATGTGTTTAAATACCAAACCAAAGCAACAAAACGAAAAAAAAAATAGTAAAAAAAATCTAAACTACTAAACCTCGAGAATATAAAACTTGTTGATGATAACTAACGTAAAAGACGAGTTTTAAAAACACATTGTCATACATAAAAGGTTGAAGTTCGAGCCTACACGAACAGTTAGCCTAGTTGAATTACTTGGGTTCCCGCAACGCACGCGAGGGTTTGTCGAGGTCAACCAGTTCAGTTATTTGATAATTATGCTTTGTTTAATCTTATATGTGAGTGAGGCCTTACTGGTGGTGACGATGGAGGGGATGTGCACGAGAGAAAGCAGGAGATAAACAGATAAAGAAAGAGAGAGAGAAAAGGGGAAGTATTAGATTAGATTTGGGGAAAAGATAAGGGAGAAATATTCAAGAGGAAAATCATTGACTGGGAAAGATATTGATGTAGATTTAAGTACAAGTGAGTTTATTGATTTTGGTAATAAATAAAATATGTTGAACAATATTACAAATACTGTCCACGTAATAATGATACAGAATATTATAAATGTTCGTGATTTGTTTTTTCCTCTGTCGGGGCGGAATCTACGTCTCAGTTTGCCCGCTATTGACTCGACGCCATCTTAATGCGAAAATATATTAGCCGATGGTTGGCTTTGTTCGCAGTATATCCCCAGCATACAGTATGTACTCCACAAGGCCACTCAATATCAGTCATAGGGGCGCTTGTGGTAGAAGCGGTACTGCTCTTGCCTCGCAAGCAAGATGTCATGGGTTCGATTCCCGGGCAAGCGGAAGTTGTTTGGACACTGTTCCTAGCCCCCTTGGTCCCTGTTCACCTAGCAGTAAAGTAGGTACCTGTTGTAAATCGAAAGGTTGCGAATTCGTATTCAGGGAAAGTTGTTGGAGCTTCTAAACTTGGAGCTTCTAGACTTGAACTGAATATCAGTCTTATCATGTTACTGTGGCTCACTGTGGCTCTCCTTAATGGCAGACATCCTAAGCGTCTTACCACAGCTAATATTAGATGATCGATTATACACAGGGGTGTCCCAAGGTGGTATTATGAGTCCATTGTGATTCCTCTACGTTACTGTGTGTGTGTGTCCTGTGTGCCGTTATTGAGCTTAAAAAACGTTTTATTGGATCCTGGTTAACAATTTCATATACTTCACATTATACATGAACATACACAGCTTGTTCTCTCTTTCTTACAATAAACTGTTGCCTGTAAACTTCGTAAAGAACCTTGACATTTACTATTCTTTTTGTCAACCCTTAATGCGCCTCGTGGTCAAGTTAAGAAGTGCATCCTACTCCTTCATTTTGTTAATAATTTTATATGTTATAAAGTTGTATATTCCGCCTTCCCATTTGATGTTAATATGTTTATCATACCTTAGGAGACTCGACTTATGGCTATTTAAGGCCTGTCGCACTCGAGTTATGACAGATACAAACACTTCATCTAGAGACTTGTGGCAGCTTGGTGCTCCGGTCGGTTATTATAAAGAGACCGGTGGGTTGACGTTGTGTTATACAGTTCGTTGTAAAGTGAGTGACGGTAAAGTTATTGTAACTTCCTGAATACTGTACTGTTTGCTGGAAGAATTTATTGATTGTGGAAATTTCAGTTTGATTCAAAATACGGGAATTTATATCCATCATTCTTATTGATAATTAATTCATAATAAAGAAATATATCAAAACTAGACAGAAAATAACTAAGTTTCTTGCTGACGAGTAAAGCTCATCGAATCAGTTATTGGCAATTTTGGAAATAACAGAGTTAACTGGAAAATAAAAGTTCAAAATTTAAGCTAATTCGGTGTATACTGTAACTAGACCTGAGCTTGAAAATGGATTTTTTGTGATTTAAGGCAACTGACAACACTAGTCTACCCTTTCATGTTTTGTGTGTTGAACAAATATCGTTACTAAGCATTTTAGGGATAATATATTAAGCTTCCCTATGTTTATTTAAATATTCGGAAAGTCTTTAATAAGGAATATGAGGCATCTTATTTACTGAAGTGTGGCGGTAAAACTAGTTCCAATATTAATAGTTTTACAGCCACACCCTTCCCTTCGAGCTGTGTCATTTGCGACTCGAGTTTCTTAAAATTCTATTATCAATACGAAGACCCCGTCGACGGAAAGGGGCCTTTAACCCTACGGGGGAGCTGAAGTTCAAACCCTTTGTAAGGAGTGAATGTCAACAAAAGCTACAATATCTACATTAAAATACATCACGATCTACATCCACCTATTCTCACCTGTAATTTTTTTATTTTTTTTCCTTTTCACTTGCTGTTGGCCTATCCAGTGTTAGTACAGGAGGAAACCAGAGACCGAGAAACCTGTGATGAATGGTTGGGTTACACTGGATAACACCCTTCTCTAGACACGAGTGTTACATTGTCTTTATCTTACCTATGCTCACGCTCCACATTTCCTGTAGTTTTCCTCCAATTTATGCAAAATTCCGACACATTTTACAACAGCCAAAAGATGAAAAGCAAATAGTTCGTAACATCTTAGATACGGAAACACTTTGGTGACCCATTACATCACGTCAAAGGTCAGGAATCAGTTTAATATATATAATATTGTCCAAGACCTGCCCTCTGCTCCTCCCTTCCCATTTACGACAACAGAGACTGAAACACGAGAATCAGTCCACTATTTTGTTCAAGGCGTGTTATGTTACAGCTGGTGTTGACCTAGTACAGTGGTTCATCGTGTCAAAACTGTGCTTCAACAGCGTGAGGATTATCGACTGTTGTCTATTATTATAAACAAATACAGATAATAGGAGCTGTTCAAACTTCAGATATTAAGAACAAAATATGAAATGTATTTACATTGTGTTTTTGGTTGTACAATAAAACTAAAGATGCCCTCAGCTGTAATACGTATTTTTGTAATCTAACGAAACACACAAGTCCGAGCATTGACTCTGTATGTTCAAGTAATGGGTAAAGTTACCTAACAAAGATTCAGATGTTATTGTCATAGACTTTCTATATTGCTTTCTTTTTCTGATCATGAATAAATTTGTCATATTGTCTGCATGATCTTTAATGGTGTTAGAAAGAGATTCTTCCCCGCACAGTCTCAGATACTCATGGTGTATCAACAGATGTCTATATACAGTACGTGTTGTCCTTGTCGTGTGCCTTTGTGCTAGATCACTGTGAGACGATAATTAAGCTGCTCTCTGAGGCCCCAACTTGGGTGAACATGCTCAGGCAAGGCACCTGGCAACACTGATTAGGGGAGTTACCTTAGTCACGCGTGATTTGTGTGCCTGTCATTAGGTCGCTCTCCCTAGGGCGGCTACCTGCGTGACTCACCCCTATACCACTGTGGACTTCCGTGATTTTCAAACTTTTTTTCTCTTCCTATTCTTTGTCTCTCTCACCCCAGTGACTTCGTCCACCATCACCCCCGGGGACTGCTACCCTCTCACACTCTCTGTTCGCTATTGTTCAAGTTATGAGTTATTTATACCACAAGAAAAATAACCTGTCACGCCCAAAGCTGTTTATTTCCAACAGTGGCAACAATAATGAAGCATATGATCTGGCTGTTAAAAAAGCGCGTGTGTGTTTTTACCGACAAGTCCTCGATGACGACATCTGCTAGTGACTAGAACATGTATTGACTGCTGTAGCAGCTCACCGGTGGCGTGAACATTCAGTGGTACACACTCGGGGGACGTTAATAATCGTGAACCCAAACACGACTTAGAGTGGTAACAACCCAACACACACTGACCTATACCACTACTCTATGATATGGCGACACAGGTGTCGTCATACCATATTTGGTGAAGAAGTGATCCCAGGGAGGGAGACACAAGAGGTGTCCTGTTATAGCAGCCACACGTCGCTCACCAACACGACCAGCAGACCAGAGAGGCAGGAGGGAGCACGAGACTCTGTCATCAACTAGTTATAATCACACATTACAACACTCCCACCTCATTTAATACTGCGTAGCGCCCAGCAACACTGTATTCACCCCACCACTTGAAAGTGTAACCCATCTGTTACTAAACCTTAAAACTATCTTGATAAAATGTAAAGCATTGTAACATTGTGTGGTGGTGGTAAGGGAGTGTGGTGGTGGTTAGGCGTGTGGTGGTACTGAGACAGTGAGGGAGTGTGGCGGAGGTGTGCAGGTGGTGGGCGTGGATGTGGTATACCTCATTGTTTACAAACCCACAAAAAAGCTTAATTCACTTATTACAATGCACTGCTCTGCCGTACGTGGTCGTAATGTTGAATGAATGGTGTTACCTTTTCTTGTTTTAATTGTACAGAGATAAGTTGTTATTAAGATCAGTCAGAGAGTTAGTTGTTACCGCTCTTTCTACGGTGTACACGTGGACGTTTGGAAATTCTCCGCCGACTTCCAAGAAAGAAAATAATTCAAAAATGACTTGCTTTTTTACTACCGTGTGTACATAATCCTGAGTTAGTTACCCAATGTTTACCTCAATGACTTCGTACATCTCTCAAAGGGCAATCAAAAAAAAGGCATCAGAATATATTACCAGCAGGAGGAGTGAGGCTGGCAGTGGCGCTCTAAGGCAGCTGAAGGACTCTACGTGACGGGCGAAGAGTACACCCACCACAAGTTGTTCCTTTGGCTTGGGCAGGTGTCGCATGTTTCTCTCTCTTTTTCATAATTGAATGGAACAATAGGGGTTGGGTGTAAACAGGACTGTCCAGTATGGCCCAATAGGCCCGCTGCATTTTCCCCCATTCTCATGTTTTTAATGTTTAGGCGGGTTTGTATATGCATGTATTTTAATGCAGTATAGTATTCTACCATCATTTTTAGTTGCTTTGGTATATAGTTCGCATAAATAAATGTTTTACACCAATATACTGTATAGTGTGTGTGTGAGCCAGAATGCACATTGCATCACATACATTTTCACAAATGTATCAGTGAACATGTTAGGGCACGAAGAAGCCTCTCAAATTCGTCACACCCGGGAGGCCCCAGTCGCAAGGGTCCAGCAGCTTCCCTTGGCAGCGTACACCAGGCTGTGCTGGAGGTGACCTTGACCGTGTAACACATGCTGGTGGTGGAGTATACCTACAGTGTCCTCTACCTGACTTGGCCGGCCACTCACAGGCGTTATGATGAAGGGTTATCCTGTGCCATATTGCACAGATCTATGCCACCCTGTCAGCGTGTACGTCAGTGTTGACGATAGTACAGTCACGAAGCTTAATTTTATTTCAATCATATTTATAATTTACGCCCAATGAAGTTACATTATTTTGTTTGTGCAGTGTGCACCATATTTTACGACGATGTATTTTATTTGAAAAACAAAACACGACATTCAAGTAGGAATAAAGTATTGTTTCCTTCAAATAACTACCAGCGCATGAGAGCAGAAGACCATAACAGACTGGAGGGATGTCTTGAAGGAAGAACCATACATATAAGAGACGCCCTCATTCCAGAAAGGATCACCAAGATCTGACTGAATCCAGATTGAATCCCATATTGCAAAAAGTACAGTGAAAAATTACTTTTGCATGCAGTATTATGATACACTCTGGACCCGATCTTTGGTAATCACAAGAAATACTGCAAAACGTGCCAGTTCTAAGAAGATGGGTATGCATGATGCTAGAATGGAAAAATATTTAAAAGATCATGTAATAATGGCGTAAAGGAATTCAAAGTTCGTGAAATTGATTGAGTTAATAATATACGCAAGTCACTGTCTACAAAATCACTGGATCAAGAACATTTCTAGAGGGACTTTATACAGCAAACGTGAAACCTATCTTCAGCACGGGAGGTAATGACGACTTACTCAGCAGCGACGTAAGACTCCCGAGCAAATACCAAATAATATCTGATATATAAAACTGACTTGGACATACCTGAAGTGTGATGTGTTATGGTGTATTACTGTCCCTCGAAGAGCTGTTGTCACTTACCTGGAAAAAATCAGATTAAAATTATATTCCACTTTACTCCTATAAAATTTTTCATACAGGTTAAGGAGAAAGTCGCCACTTGTACCACTTTATATATTGGCAAGATCTTAAGGTTGTGGCTTTTTTTTCTAAAGTAAAAATGCTTATTAGGTGGGAGAGAATTAGATAATGACTATGAACCAACAGTAGTACCTTCCTGAGGGAGGTTTGATGGGAAGATCATAAAGTTCTGAAGGAAAATTATATATTTCACATTCCTACGTGTTTTTCTACTCTCCTGTTAGATCTGCATCTATGCATTACAACAAACATATCAAAAACTATTCAGCCTCCCTCCCCAAAAAGGTTTCGTCCCTCTATTTAACCTTAATCAATAATTGTACTCTTCAACTAAAGGAACAACCATGATACTAAAGTTGTTTATGGTTAACACCAAATGTTAATAAAGACACTTGTCCACTGTGTCACAATAAAAACAGAAGTAGTGCTCACCTTGCCGTGGTGGAAGGGAAGCCTTGGTGTCACCCATCATGTCTTGGGCCAATGGGTTATGGACCATCCTGCCTGAAACAACATTCATGAATGAGGCCACAGTTCTGCTTTCAATATTTTAATTATATACAACTTTAATTACTGTATATTTAAAAGAAATTTTCTGTAAACAGTAACACAAGAGATAATGGATACTTCCATCCCTCAACAAGGATCAGTACAGCTCCTGCTTATGACCTGACACAGTGAAGTACTGTACAAGAAGTCATACTGGTCAGAACCTCAAAGAGTAACTCACTAACAAACCTACACTGCCAATTTTCCCATACTGTGATAGGTCAGGTCTTTTTGGTTTCTCTGGTTAAGTTAGACAATGTATAGTATACATTGTATACTGATATTTGAGAGTTGCTTTTGCTTGTATTTACCCCACAATGTTCGTAATTGGGGGGGGGGGTCATATTTCCATAGCTACTTATTTCCAATGGATAAGAAGGTCAAATTCGTATGAAACACAATTAAAAACATTATAAAACCCATTTCCCATGGCAATTTCCGAATATTTACAGGTCATGTTTGTTGTCATATCTGATTAAATCATTAATGATTCCAAAAGAACTAACCAAACCTGATCTAACCCACCTAACTAAAATTTAAGGTGAAGTTGAGAGCAGATGAACATGCATAATGTAAATACACTGACAGCAAATTTACTTTACTCCTATCTTCTTCGCCACTGATGGGCTCGTTAGCCTCTTGGGCGGTGAGTCACGTCTCTGTTACACACTGTTGGCAAAAACTGGAATGTTGCCAGATTCTCAAATGCCTATAATACCAGGCAGTTACCAAAATTTCACCAGACATAAAATTTACTATAAACTGTGTAATAAAAAGACTTATTTGTACTGATACTTAGGGCACCATATTACTGACAGAATTAACTGACAAATATAGTTCAGTTACATACCAGTATTCATCGGTTGTAGCTGTGATAAAAATAATTAACAGAAACCATTATTACTCCACTCTAACATGAAATAAAACATTTTTATCAATATACAGTAATTTGATCTGTTATAATGAAATAAAATAAATTATTATTCATTTAAATATTTCCAACATAATTGTGACCAAAATGTAACAAGAAATATTATTCATCAATTGCAGTAATCAGTAAGTATCAATTATGCAACAGAAATATCTGATTTTAGTATAATTAATATTTTCAGCATATAACAATATGTACAGTACAGTATATGTATTCCACAAAGTAAGGCTTGCGAAATTGTATTTGTGTATTTTCGTGGAGTGACTGGTAAGAGTTTTTGGGCGAGAATATATAGTTTTAGCAGTTAGATGTGTTAGGGAGCTTACGGGTTGTCAATATCCCTTTGAGGCATACAAGTATACTGTACTGTACTCTGGAGTATTCTTAAACTCAGTGTCCCTTTCCCTACGATATACACTCTATCTTGGTTCACCATGTGGATTACCCCTAAGCTTCACTGCCAAGGCCGGTCCAACTCATTCTTCAAACTTTACTAAGGTAAAGTAGGCGTGGTGGTGAGTCCGCGGGATCCGTCCTTGAAGCCTTGACTGGGCGCAGCATATAAATACAGGCCCCACTTATTGCTAGGCTATCTAGTTTATCCTTGCCTGTCCGCACGGTGCTCTTACTCAGCGGTACGTAGAGCTCCACGGATTGTGTGTGTTTGTAGGAGGTTCCTGTTAGGACTTTGTGTATGGTCACCAAGAATTGTGTTTGTTTATCTATTTTGATCAATTACATCTTTTTTTTTTTTTTGCCGATCATCAAGAGTTGTGTGGGGTGTGGATTTAAAAGATATGGGCTGTAAGGCAGTAAGATGTCAGGGGATATTGTCCAGTTTAGAATGAATTTAAGTTGTACATGCTGTCATTCATATTTATCGGAATATATCAAACTGGAGAAGTTTCAATATTTTTTTTAACATGTACTGAAGTTTTAATTCGTCATTTAAGTACACAATACCCATCTGTTGACTATATTTTTTTTTTTACAAATGTACAAAAAAATAACAATTCATGGCATCTAACAGCAGAGCATGTCACGCCTTAAAATTAAGTTCTACACTACAGGGTATCTTTTGTGTTAAGCCGTTCAGAGATTGTCGTCAGTTCTAGAATGGAGTATCGTTTCCATTGTAAATTAAACCTCTTTATTCCAACTGTTTGGTTTCTCTTTTAAGGTCAATACGGAGATTTTGAACCAGCCTTATTAACCTTCACTAAGTTACTTCTCTTATCTAAAGTTATATATTGTAGACGTAACAGTTGGATGTAAACAATGTGTGTGTTCTTGGTGAGGCAAAACATGCGGCCTAATACATTAGTAAACACATGTTATCCCTATATATTCACTGTTATAAATATAGTTGAGTTGTAAATGCATACATGAAAATATCAGATTCATTTCTTGGCCTTGGAATGAAAAAAGATTGCACAAGTTATCAAAGTTAACCATACCCCAAAATAGAGGTTGGCAGATTTATTCGCCATCCCTGACAAGGACTGACATCACCAAGCTTCTCAACATTTCATGGAGAGACGTGATTGAAAAAGTGGACTCTCCTAGCGTGTTTACAAAAGATTCCTTGAAAAACCTAGTCACTGTCTTGAAGCACATGGCAGTCATGGCTTTTACTACAGTATTTCAGTAGAAAGTGAATTGTTTCATCAACCCTAACAAATTACTTTGTATAAATAAATAAGGAATATGCTTTTATCAATACTAACGTAAGTTGAGGAAGACAGTTTTAGCTTTGACCTAATCCCCCATATGCAGTTACTTTGAACTTAGGAAAACTAAAACGGAATCCAAAGGTTAAAATAGGGACACAAATTCTTACCAGAAACAAAATGTTCTCCACAAATCATTACTCGAGATATTTGATCTTGAATTCTTCCATTCTTCTCTACTGATGGCAGGTATCCTATAAAATTGCAACACGTCTTTGTTTTTCGATCAGCTATTTACCTTTTGGCGTGATACAATTGTAAAGATTTGTGTTGTCCAGTTTTTCTATCCATACAGCCTACAGTACAGCAACTGGGGTATTCTAGTGTATTAAAATCGCCGAAAACCACAAAAACTCGTATATAAACCTTGGTGGAAGCGTTGCTCAACACGATTCCGACTGTAAACTTTTGCAAGCGGTCTACAGATCGCCACTAATGAACACTTCTCCGCCACATTGAAAAAACGAATTGGGGGGCTTTAATTATGGTATCGTTCAGGCCATTCCAGTCCGAACTTTAACATATATCTAATTATCCAAAATGCCTCTAAATCCTTCGATAAAGTTTGCTATCAATCTCTTCATGGTAGACTTTCTTCATTTAGTTTTCATTTATTGCTAGCTGAGTAATAATGTTTCGCATTTTTTGTGTGAATCCCCGCTTATTACTTTGTAAGCTAATGAAAAAAATATTTGTAGAAAATATAAGACTAGATACATAAACGAGCTGCTTGTATCGTCAATCACTGGTCATCTTAAACTCAATTGCAATCACAGCTCTCTATCTTAACGCAGCTATTTTTAGATTATAACATGAAATGTTAATTTGCAGTGATCTGCTGAGAGGATAAACTTACTGCAACAAAAAATCTGACGCTGTTATTTTGCTTATACTTCTTAAAATGGACAAATGAATGTTTTGGAGGTGCTCTGCATACAAATTAAATTCAGTATTTCAGGTTTTTATATGGAAACTGCTCAATTTTTAAACAAACGGACGTGAGACGTACGTAAAAAGTAACTCCCCCTTTCTTTTTTTCAGATGTGGATCGTACGATGGTTAACAGCAATGGTGGTGGTGACCGTGTCAGTGGAGGCACGGCCGCAATTAGTCGACGTAGCATCAATGGCCGCATCCGGGGACTTTGGGGGAGCAGAAATAGCAGGAAAAGCTAGAAGTTTTGTCTCTAACTTGGCTGCTGACACTGTAGGTTCAGTCCGTGTGCTGGGGGAGGGCACGCGCGACGTGATTAAGGATATGTGGAACAACAGCAAACAAACGATGCAGCGGTTCACCGCTGTTGCCACAGACACAGTTGACCAGAATGTGCAAGGGGTCCGAGACGCAATTAGGACTACTAACACTTTTGTTGCCGATGGAGCTCAGGAGGCCAGACGACTCGCCGAGGGAGCTGCCCAGAGCACTTTGGGCGTAATTCGCGATGCAGTGAACTCCAACGGACAGTTTTTAGAGGGTGTGAGGAAGATGGTGCTGCAGGGCGTCGTGGAAACCGGGCAGGCTACTGGAGATTTCGTCCAACAAGCAGTGACCAATGCCAAAGACTTCGTTGAGGCTGGCACCGGAGTGGTAAGTCGAGTCGTCACTCAGCGTTCCTTCTAAGATCGACATAACACAACCTGCATAGTCTATTAACCACTGCATTTTTTTAATTATAACTTTGTACATCCTAGACTCTTGTTACTTTAGTTTAAACTATAGTTAGTGAGTGTACAAGCAAGAATGAAGTACGGCCTACATGATGTGACAGGCATGTTTGACAAACTGTGTGCGCATGTTTGCGTTAAACCCATTACTATTTCCTATTTCCTCCACATATCGTTCTTCCTATTTAAAGGTACAGCGATAACAGCTAGTAGCTTGTATCTTCTGGTAACCAGCCATTAAAGATGTACACCAGATTCATTATTATTTTGTATTTTTGTTGACCTATCTATACAGCACTGTAATGATAATAAAAATAAAGAACCATAAAGAAATACAAAAATGAACAAAAAATAATAATGAGAAACGATGTATGTACCTATGTTGTGTTGTAAAGGTAAAAGAAACAAATGAGACCCTGCTCTTTCAAGACACGACGACCAACACTGGAGCAGGTTCAGGTACAGTCAGGAGCCGGTGCATGCCCAGTACTTGCCAACAGTGCGTGACAGAGACGTGACCGATCGCCCGGGCGGCTAGCGAGCCGATCAGTGGCGAAGAGGATAAAAGTAAGTAAAAGTATGTAAATGGGGCAGATCAGCAACCTGCGACTTGGTGACAATTTTCGTGATGCCATATAGCAACAGGGTCTACCATCAGACAACACATTAAGCTTCCAATATCTTTCCAGGCGGTAGTACCTCCCTGTTTGATATCAAAACATTGATATTGAAACTGTTTATTTAGTCAGAACACATACAGAGTCGATTGAAGATCATAATATTAACATGGCTGAGCCAGTTGAGAGCCTGAGCTCTCTTGAAGGCACCTGATATATACTGTACATTTATCACAAGGAAGTATAATGCAACAATAATTACTTCCAGTTCCGGAATAATCAGAGATACAACTTAAGGCACCCAGAGCTACTAAGACCACCCCCCATACGCTCCTCTCAGTCCCAGACCTCCATAAAATATCATGGTGTGAATGTGTGGAACAACTTAACCCCACCCATCCGAGCAAAGACTACACTCCCTTCCTTTAAATCATCTCTAAAAAAATATCTTTTGTCGAAGTATTAAAATTTCTTGTAACACTTACTATATTTACAGTACCTGCTTTTATTGTACCACCAAATCCGTTTTATCGGAAATTATCATGTAAATAAATAAGTAATTACCATTGCATTACACATAATTGCCAGCTAGACATAAAGCTCTGTCCTCTTGTTCAACCTTATTACAGCACAACCCAGGTTGTACTGCTCCCCCATTATACTTATGTTTTTAAATTCCACTCTAATTTATATGTATATGTGTATGTATGTGTGTGTATTTGTGTGTGTGTGTCTGTGTGTATATGTATAGGTATGTGTATATGTATGTATAAATAAATAAATAAAATAATAAATAATAAAATAAATAAATATTGAAGTGATAACCGTGGTAACATTATGAGATGTACTTATTACTACCATGCTATTGTACTATTCCAGATGATACTAAATGTTACATAATACTTCCTTGAGATAAATGTATAGTATATATCAGGTGCCTCAAAGAGAGCTCAGGTTCTCAACTGGCTCAGCCATGTTACTATTGTTATTATTATCCACTCTGTATCTGTATTTTTCTGGCTAAATAAACTGTTACAATTCAACATTCAGTAACATCTGGAATAGTACACATAGCATGGTGGTAATAAGAAAACATCAGAATGTTACCACGGTTATCACTTTGCTATTTATTTATTTACTTTTTTACAATATTTAAAGTATATACAAAATTTACAGTGAAATTGAAAAACATAAATATGATGAGGGAAGCAGTACAACATGGGCTGTATTAAGGTAGAACAAGAGGACAAAGTTATCAGGATTATGTCTAGTTGGCAAATATATTTATTGCAATGGTAATTTCTATCTATCCGGTCATTACGTAGTTAATTATTAAGGATGCAAGATGTGTATTTTATTTTTGCGTATTATTATTCAACTCAATCAAACGTAAATATTTATAAGTATTCTCCTTGTGTTGGCCACGGGACTTCTGTGTTAACCAGTGATTGGGCATCATATCAGGTTGAAGTACTCTTATCATATAATTCAGTATGCTCAGTACGAAGTGTATGTCAGGTAAGATATAGTGGTGAAACTTATATTATTTATAATTTAGAAATGGACAATGGCTGGAGTCTATCTGGCTCTCAATGGTCAATGTACCGGTGGGATGGTAACCGGGTTTCATTTTGGTTAGCACGAGAAACCAAAGTCAGATTCGTTTGATTCACAACAAGAGCCTCAGGAAAACGTATTTTTGATGGGAAAATCGAAACCCAGGTGGATGTTACGACTTTCTACCTCATTTGCACACAATCGCAGGGTCTCAATTGTCTCTTTTACGACTGACAACTCAAAATACTTATATTGTTTCTCACCTTTGATCATTCTTTTTTTGCAATTCTTTATGGTTCGTTATTATTAATATTATTATTATTATTATTATTATTATTATTATTATTACAGTGTTATTATTGTAGTTATCATTATTGTTATATTTATATTTTTTATTATAAATTTTATTTATTATTATTATTATTACCACCACCATCTTTTTGCCCCCAGGCCAGTGACCTGTGCCCGGGTGGGCTAATCCCTATAAAAAATAACTACAAAAAATAATAAATTTACAGTATTTTGGACCAGCGAGAACTTCTGTAATAATTTTACTGAAAGTCTACCAGCCTTTTCTTTATCTAGATCTCACCTAGAGAGCCTGGTATGGACAGTACTGTACGTGCTACCTGGTATGTACAGTACTGTACGTACCTGTACATTAACCTGTGTGAAATAATGGTTAATATCTTGAATGACTGTGGAATTAATAATGGTTTGTTTTATTGGTAAATATTCCACAAACACTAGCAAAGGGCTTAGGCATGAAAACCAAGAATATTAATGCAGTTTTCATACTGAATACAATGTTGAGGTAAATTTGCGATAAGAGAAAACTATGATTTTTCCGATAGTTTAGACAATTTTAAGACACTTCCATGATGTTCCCTTGCAAATAACCTAAAATTACCTAACTTAACCTCTTAACTGGGGGGGAGGACTCCACCCCCTGTATCCCCTGGCATATTTAATTAATTCTCGAGAGAAACGTCACAGAAGAAAAGTGATTGTACATACCAAATTACCCGTACTCCATACCGGGTGACTTATGCAATAATACCAATGGTGATAATAACAGTTTTGGGAAATGCATAATTATGGAGTAGAGTTATGTTGTATGGCAGTGAAAATGGGTAGTTAAAGAGGATGACATACACAGACTTGCATGAACTGTAATGAGAATGGTGAGGACTGAGGTGGATATGTAATGTGACACTGAAAGACAGGAGGCCCTGTTCAGAGCTAAGAGGGTGGCTGGGTATTGAGAATATTGGCAGAGTTTTGTGTAGAGTTAGGCTGAGATGGTTTGGGTATGTGGAGGGAATGGATGGGATGAGACCGACTGGTTCAAGAGATGCATGTGTCTAATTGTGGAGGCGAGAGGCAGAGGTAGGTGAAGAATGACATGAGGAGTGGTTTTAAGAGCTAACCACTAAAAGAGGAGGAGACTGTTATCATCAGAAATAACTTGTGGAATTGAACCAATTTCTGGAGATAGCTATTATTTCCATGAAACTGAACACGAAAATGAAGGCGAGAATGCATAGAACCTGACCTAACCTTACCTAACCTAACCTAACCTAACCTAACCTAACCTTTCCTAACCTACCTAAGCTAACCTGATATAACTAACTTTACTTAACCTCACCTAACTTCCTAACCTGTGCATTGTTGTGCATTGTCATTTTGATTTTCTTCCTATTATCCAAACAACATCTTTAGAAAAAATTAAAGATTTCAATCAAATATAAATCTTGATAAACATGACCGATGAGATCATCATTTGTTTCTGGACATGTCCACAAATAATGTGGATGGTCCTTTATCTTTACTGAAATAACATTAGAGTTAAGAATCTGATGGGAGAGGCTGCACGAGACCATGCAGCATGGAGAGTTCCCACCATGTAACCCTGGCTAACTCACGTAAATTTGGAAAATGGTTGTAAAACGTTAATGATGATAAATAATTTATAACAGTTACCTGTTTAAGTTTCATACAATTTAATGAACTTTGCAATCTTTCCTCTACTCCAGGACTACTGCGGATGAGACCTGCAGTGCTCAGTATACGCACAATGTCATCTCCACCAACTGATGGGTACTCATATGAGACATTAGCAGTGTCTGTGCCCAAGGAGAATGTCTTCCATGTTCAACTTAACCGTCCAGATAAGCTTAATGCTTTGAACAAAGTTCTTTGGAGGTAAGAACCATTTGGATATTAGGTTTCCTTTAAATAATTTTGTATTCTTTGACAAGGGGATACTTTGTATGTATGACTTTACTTTATTCTTTGACTGATGGGTTGTGACGAGTGACCTGAGACAACACGACCATTAAGCTATCTCTCTGTGCCCTTCAGAGTGGGCAGATACTGTAGTTGCGTTCTATGTTGTACTGTACTGGGTGAGTATCACTTCTCACCCATTTGATTCTGATCATCAAATTCCATAAACCAATGGTTGACCCAGAGGCTAGGGAGGATTTAGGTTCAATGAATTTAAAAGATTGACTTAGGTTGATCAATTTGCATGCTTTGAAATCCTCTTCAGCCATAAAATTTAATTCTTATTCCGCATCATTATCTGCTAGATTTAGGACTAACAACACTCCTGTTCCTCCCGGTTGGTCTCCAGAAGATGAAGTGACTACTTTTAAAGTGAGATAAGTGTTGAGAAGACACTTTGTTTGATTATTCATTTTCTTTCAGATGCGCATAAGATGCGACACGACTGTACTTCAGTAAGTTTTCTCAGCAACAGTACTTTTACTCAAATTTTTTGCAGTATTTTGTCCACCACTGGAGTTATTTGTACTGGATCAGAATTAGTAGGTAGAGTAGGCAATTTTTCTTTGATTGACCTTATCATTATTTTTTTATAATTATTTTAACTCAGTTTTATAAGTGCATTATAATTTGTTCTTCTTTTTATCCCCCTCCAGGGAGATAGGTGAGTGTTTTAATCAGCTGGCTGATGATTCAGACTGCAGAGCAGTGGTACTCACTGCTGCTGGTAGAATGTTTACATCAGGAATTGATCTTTCTGACTTGGCAATGTTGGCTGGCATTGTTATGAGTGATGACGACCTGGCCCGTAAATGCCGTGCAATGAGAAAAGTCATAACAACATATCAAGAATCTTTTACTTCCTTAGAGAAGGTTAGTTTTTTTATCTGTTTAGGATACCGGGGGAGATGGGATGCACATTGGTCCCGGCATTTCACAACTTTTACGATACTTTATCACACTGTATTTTCCGTAACTTGTTTGCTAATTGTTTCCATTTTGATAACAGCATGCTGGTCATATCAACTAATGCATCTCCATGACTAGAGTACAGTAGTTAAGCATATATTAAGTCCGTCTCTTAATTGCAACTTTTTGTAATTGTAGCAAGGTAATACATAGCTCCAAGGTTAACTAGGTATCATAGATTTTGAATGGTTTATGGTGTGACAACCATTGAAGTTTTTTTTAAGTAGACACCATGAACGCTTGCTTGAGTATTGAACACTTTAAGGTGCTGAGACCATTTATAGCAATTGATTGAGAAAGATTCTGATTAGTTCCACCATTTCTGGATGTTAGAAAATGACCAAAAAATATTGAAGATGATGACTGGTCTACTGTAAACTTAGGCCAGGTATCAGAAGATCTTGCTGTCATATGCTTCTCAGCATTATAGTTCATTATTGATTGAAGTGAAGGAATATTTTAGTAATCATAACAAATGTACAGTATGTGTTGGCTTATGCTTATTTGACTGTACCATACTGTCGATGACAGAGTAATATCACAGATTGACCACTATTTAATGGTGTACTGAAACATTTATATATACAAAGTTATAGTATTTGCTCTCTGTAGAGGCATTAATCTTGTGAACTTAATTTTTTTTCTTCTATTCCATACTTGTCACTGTGATGGCCTTGCAATCATCAGTGTTCCAAGCCGATAATTGCTGCTGTACACAATGCCTGTGTTGGGGGAGGAATAGACCTTATTTGCTCTGCAGATATCAGATATTGCTCCTCTGATGCATGGTTCCAAGTAAAAGAAGTGGATGTTGGTAAGTTGTTAACATTTCTCTGCATTGTATTAGAGAATTACCCTGTACAGTATACAGTAGTAGAGTGTGAAGGTAGCAGTGATATAGAGAAATGGACTTGGAAAATATGTCATTGTGGTGAATAGGCGATGTATTTAGAGGAAGACTAAAATTAATATGGAGAGAATGAGAGAATTTTTATAGATTAAAAGAGTTTTGAATGGAGAAACCAGCAGAGATATTTTGTAGTCACATGGTAGGCGAGTACTGTAGTCTATCAGTTTTGTGAAGTGTTATATGGTTTAATTTTTTTTCACCATTTGACAAGTATTGATGCAAGAACTTACTCAGTTGGGATCTGGGATTAACCATGGAATAATAGATATTTGTGTAGTAATTTCAATGTGCTAACCTGTATACCACAATTCTTATTGATTAGTGTTGTTGGTTTGGCCACAGGTTTGGCAGCAGATGTTGGAACACTGCAACGCCTTCCAAAGATCATAGGAAATGAGAGTCTTGTTCGAGAGTTGTCGTTCTCTGCTAGGAAAATGTTTTCCAGTGAAGCACTTCAGTGTGGCTTTGTATCAAGAATTTTTGCTGATAAAGAAAGGTAAAATTTTTTATTTGTGATCCAAGTACTGTATATGCTGATCACCACAAGGAAACAAGAAGACACGAAGTTCCCAAGCGCTTTCGTGTAATTCACATCTTCAGGGGTGAGTACAGACTGATGTGAATTACACGAAATTAACTAAACTTTTTCTGTTATCTCTTATATATATATATATATATATATATATATATATATATATATATATATATATATATATATATATATATATATATATATATATATATATATATATATATATATATATATATATATATATATATATATACAGGAGAGTCTGCATTTATGCGGTCAATTGAACCCGTGGAGGTCCGTGTAAAACAAGAAACTCGTAAATGAAATAAGTGAACATATGGGATTAATTGAAATAGAGACTGGGCCGACCCCCAAACTCCACTTTTTCCGACACAATACCTAGTTGTAGTAAAAATAACATCTTAATTTTATGATGGTATGCGCACACAATTAATATTTAAGAGAAATACAGTAGCCCGGTTAATGTCCATTCAAATAATGGACTCAACTCCCCCCCCTCCCCCTCTTCCCACGCTCGCTGGCTCCTCCCTCTCTGAGAAATGTTTGGGTGAAAACACTAGATTTTAAGGTATTGTAATAAATAATACCTCAGACTAAAGTTAGGATAATATAATTGACATTGCTGGATTCCTTGCAGGACAGGGAATATTTTGAATGTAAATGTCATATATTTTGCACTTAAGATAATTTTTTTGCTAATTTTCATCATCTAATTAAATTACATCTAAAATTTATGTCTAATGCAAATTTTAGGATGTTTATATTTAAAATGATCAGCATCTTGTAAGGATTCCAGCAATGTAAATTATATATTTTATGAGCTAAAAACATATATATCTTCAGTAAATAAACAAATTATACTTCATCCGCGTAAATGATGAAATTTATCGCGTAATTAAAACATTTCATTCTGGCAAGGGTAAATGACCAAACTCGTAAACAAAAGCCGCGTAAATGCAGACTATACTGTATATTCAAAATCATCACCCGATACTATATCAGTGCCACTCAAGTCAAACAGTTCTCAATGAATAGCACTACAGTACTGTCAAGAAAATACCCTCGTTTAGGGGTGGAGGAGCTAGCTGTCGAAGTACGTGCATCCATCATGATAGTTGGTGGATAACTGGACCACTAGATTTTAGACAAAGATTATGTGTGAGTTGAGTTGCCAAGTAAATAAATATCCTTTGCACAAAAACTAAGGATGTAGAGGAACATTATCCAGGCTTTAAGGGTTAATAATGAAAGTTTATGTGAAAAAATTTTCATATTTAAGAAAAATTTATTTATACAGGTAAAAGGTTTTTCAGGAATGAAACTCTTTTGTACTTAAGGGAATGCCTGTACAAGTACAGCATTTAAAGGTAACGACATCTTCACATCTACTTAATAATACAAAATTTTGTACTGTACCCTTGTACTTAAAACTGTTACTCAAGATTTTTTATTTTTTTTTACCCAAGAGGCACAAGAAAATATGTATCTTTTGTGAAGACTTTATCCTCTGTTATACAGTACAGAAAATACTCCTAATTTATTCTGAGATGAGGTTTAGTATTATGGTGGATCCCAGCTTATTGTCTTTATCTTCAAATGATTATTTTTAACAAATATGTTTCTGTGTACATCTCATTGTATTTCCATGAAAAAGGGCAAAAAAACATTAATACATAATTTTTGTCTTATTCTGAACTAAATGTTATTTGTTTTACTTACAGCTTAGTAGAAGGAGCCCTAGACATGGCGTCTACTATTGCCAGCAAGTCTCCTGTAGCTGTCCAGACTACTAAAATGGCCTTAGTACATGCCCGAGACCACTCTGTTCAAGAGGGACTGGACTATATTGTAAGTGCCTAGGTTACATAGCTAAGTCCTTTTTGTTGGTTAATTGTCTTCTAAAACTATTGAAGGTATTATTTTTAAAGCAAAAACTGGCCTAGAAAGAAATGAATAGATTTTCAATAAGATTTGTTTAATAAGAATGAACATGTGTGCCGTTAATGACAGCACAATCCTCACTAAACATATATGTACAGTAAGGTCCCACTTAATGTGCAATATGTTCTCAATCAGTCAGAGTACCATCCTCATGTCTGAGGGTTGGCGACCACAGTCCTCCACTCTAAATGTTCTTGGGCTGTTTTTACCAATCATCCAAGGTTTTGTATCAATATGGGGACCCAGTTTTTAATTACATTTACCCATCCCAGTTGATTGTACATATTATTATTTTCTTTACAAAGATGATTGTCATTTGAATGTTATGAGGTAGTGCTAAAAATTGGATTAGGCCAGTAAAGTACTGTATAGGTTGTAATAGAAAAATTTGCTATTTTTTATGCTTAAATACCATAGGTGTTTGATTCTTACAAACTTTTTGGGAATGCAACCCTCATGTGGTTGATTAACTCAATCTTTGGTTTAATAGTTTGTATAACTACTACCTTTACATAAAGAAAATTTGCACCTGTAAAAGAAGAATAATTACATTAAACTCAATTTTCGCAGTTTCTGGATTTGTGAATTTCAGTTGTTGGTATTCGTGACCCCCGACCTTCAGTATTAGCAGTTTCTAAGGGGTTGAAATCCATTTATCATCAGGACATGTAAGGGGAGGAGAAATTAATATAAGTTTTTATTTTGTTTCTTTGGTATTATTACATTAATATATCTGTGTGAGAGGAGTTATTTTTCTTTTATATCTATAGTATATTTTATATCTCTCTTTTCTTTTATCTTATTTTATTTTCTCTGTTTCTAAGTCTTTATTTCTGTATGCTCATCACTTTATCTTCGTATCACTTTCTCTATTTTCCTTGTTTATATTTTCTGTCTTATATAACCTTTAATTTTTTAGTTATATTATTTTCTTTTCTAGATTTTACTTTTCTTACTTACTGTTTTTTCTTTCAGTGTCATTTATTATAGTGTCCTCTTACTTCAATATTTATCAGTGCTTAGTTGTATTCTATACAAGGGATTAACCTGGGAAAACCATATTATTCTTTTACAACACTTACTGTATTAGTATAATTATATACCTTCACAAGGGTAGACTGCCACCACCCAGGCTTTTATTAGAATATAACTTGTATAATTAAGGTGTTAGGTAGCGTGGTAGACACGAGCTTAGGCACGTGAGTTACAGTATTTATTTTATGTGAAGCAATTGTTGGAAGGGAAAGAGCGGTGATACTCACAGTTCACTAAATCAATATTTATTAAAATCAAAAGTAAATAAGATGATAATTTAAATGCACTCAGACAAGAATGGACCACTAGGTCTTACTTTATAAGTAACAAAATAGATCTTCAATTATTTGTTACAACATCAACAACTGTCATATTATTTACTTGACAATAAGGATGGTTATTTTACACACTTGTCAATAGCACAGATATTAATGAACAGCATGGAACATATACCAGCCTCTCAATTTGGAAGCATACATTGATGGTTTACTCACACATATAACAAATTTAATACTGGCAATAGCAACATTTATGGTTTCAATACTCAACTCGGGATAACTTATTTCTGTTAATTATCTCCATTCATGTACAACAATATTACTTTGCACATATAACTCCGGGGCTTGGTTCCCAGGGCTCGTTACTCCCTGGTTTTAATCTGGCTACCGATCCACGGTAACTGCGGGTATTCAGCTACAACATTCTGGGCCTGAGAGACAAGGGGGGGCATCACAAAAGTGTCGCGCTTCCTTGTGCATGCGTTTATATGTGGGCTAACTGGCAACTCAGGCATGCCAAACGGGCATTACGCGTATTAACATATACAAGTACTTCATTTAAATCAGTTGCTGTACATTTGGCTAAGAAAATGAGTGTTATGGGTCAGATGAATTTTTTGCGTCTATTTTTACAATCTAAACAGAGGTTGAGCTTGCCAGGCAATATTGAATTGGACGTTAAACACACAAACTGGTAACGTCTTTCTTAAGGCCTCATGAGAAATACAGACAAAAGCCTCCTGATAATTTGCCATTAGATCTTGGAGATAAGAAGGCTGACATATTCTTGTCAGGTTATTAATTACTTTCTAAAATATAAAGCTGACAATAAATTTCAATACAAACATCAGATTCTCTGATGATTGGGAATCAAAATGATCTAACTTCAGTACAGTAAAACCTCGATTAACCGACCACATATGGGGGGAAGGGGCCGACGGATAATCCGAAAGGTCGGTTAATAGTACATAAAGTCTACGGAAATAAAACATACATTTTCAAAGTACCTTTCCCTAACCTACCTCATTTAATTCCCTCTATTCATTTTTGTTCATTTGCCATTCATATTTCAATAAAATTTGCTTTAAAACATTAACCACTTTAGTAAATAAATATGAACCAGCACAAAAACCGTGAATAAAAAATGGAAAAGTCAAAGAACATATGTCATCACAAAAATTGTGACCAAGCCCCAGGTTGCTGATCTGACTTTCTACCTCATTTACACACAATTGCAGGGTCTCAATTGCTTCTCTTACTATTGACAACACAACATACATATATTGTTTCTCACTCTTGATTTTTTTTTCATTTTTGCATTTATTTATGGTTCTTTATTACCATTATTATTATTAATATTATTACATTATCGCCCCCCAGGCCTCGATATGGGTCAGTGACATGTGCCCGGGTGGGCTAATCCCTTTAAAAAAAAAAAACATTTTTTTTTTTTTTTTAGGAGTTCGGGATTGACGGTTAATCCGAAAGTCGGTTAATCGAGGTTTTACTGTATTAGTTTGGCACTCAGGGCATCCCTACGGGCGATATTAGGGCTTTGTCATTTTTACTGGCAGACTCTATTCAAACTGACTTGACAATTTTACTAACAGTAAATACAGTTGAAGCTTTCAACATCACTCATAAGGGATCTTGAATGTTTCATCTGTAATCAGACATATCTAATTTGACATAGTATAACTGTGCTCTCTCTCAATTTCAAATATCTGAACACGATATGAGTTATTAAGAGCTATCGGAGTCTCTGAGGTACATGATTGAGAGAAAATGGAGGCCTCAGGCTTCCTGAAGCAGTAAGAAAATGGGGGCCTCAGTAAAGAAGTTACAGCTACATGTTTTATGGGCTACTGAGCGTAATATGGATCGTCTGATTTTACGTAAACTAACATGTACAACCGTGGTCAGTACAGTAATATCTCCGTTAGCCGGAATCCCTCGAACCCGGAATTCTTCGATAGCCGGAATTGAAATTTTCTCGGAAAATCTTTCCCAAAGCCAGAATTTTCCGGAAAATTCCAGCTTTGGGAACGATTTTCCGGAAAATTCTGAGAAAATTTTCCTGGTACAGGTAGTTCTGCTATAACGCGATAATTGTGTTCTTGTAAAATATCGTGTTATAGAAAATCGCGTAATAGAAATAACAGGGCTTATGGAGAAAATAGGGTTAGGTGCAGATTACTCGAAATCGAAAAAATTTAGTAGTTAGCCTAACACAAAGGATAGCACAGTCTAAATAAATGTTACATTCATATCTAATAATGAAATCATACAGTAAATGTAACACTTTACTTGATGGGGGAGAAGGGTGATTTTGAGGTTGATAAAATCGAGCTTCTCTTCAAGTGTTATATCCTTTCTTTTACGATCATCACCGGGAATTCTATCACCAGAACGCTTCTTGTTGATATTCTTCTTTACTATATTCACAGTTAATACAGTGGGGTATGCTATAACGAACGGATCCTACTACGAATATTCCTATAACGAACGGTTTTACCTATAAAATTGAGAATGCTATAACGAACGAAACTCCTACAACGAACATTATTTATTTATTTATTTACTTTTTTTTTTCTAATTTATTGTTTTTTTATTACAAATATTAATGATATTCTTTATTTTGCATATTTATGCACTTTTTTACAATTTTATATTATATTTTTCAGTGTTAAGTGGTTGTATTTGGGGGCCTGGAACGGATTAATCCTATAATGAACGAATGCTATAACGAACAAGGTTCTAGAACCAATTAGATTCGTTATAGCATACCCCACTGTACCACAAAATTGGAGAAATAGTAAGCAAAAATCGCGTTATAGCAAACAAGCGTTCGCGTTATACAAATATCGTTCCTAATTCATAAATCGCGTTAGAGCAAATTCGCGTTATCAAAACACGCGTTATAGCAGAACTCGCTGTACCTGGAAAATTACGGGGATGAGTGATATTTTTCCGGGTTCAAGAGATGATATAATGGGCAATTTCTGGAACTTCCGAGAACATTTTTCCAATACCCGGAAAATTCCGGGGTGGAGGGTGCGGGAGGAGGTTATGAAAATTGCAATTAAATGCCAGGTAGTGACTTGTCCTCCTAATATTACGTATTTAAGTAATTATTAGATGTTTTAATTGCCTGTATGTTGGCCTGGCAAATTAATGCTAGGCATTTACATACCTAGGTATAAAGCTAGACGTCACATTCTGGACTATTGTATATCACAAAAACTGGTTTTTAGAAGAAAACGTCTTTTTCCGGCTTTGAGAGAGTCACCCGGAAATCTCTCATTCCCGGAAGTGCTCTGCACCAATTGTTCCGGCTAACGGAGATATCACTACAGACAAAACATTATAATCTATGAAAAAATATAATTTATTGTAACATTACATTGAGGATAAAACCACATTCACTTCCCATAAACCACTTTCGAATTTACAAAGAAATCGGAGAATGTTAAAATTTTCCGGATACCAGAATTTTCTCGGAATTTTGCAGAATGATGCATTATTTCATCTCCCAAAGCCGGAAAAAAATCCCCATCCCCTGAATTTTACGGGTACTGGGAAATTTTTTTGGTATTCTCCAGAAAATGTGACCCTTGGAAAATCGTTCCCAAAGCCGTAATTTTCCAGAAAATTCTGGCTTTGGGAATGATTTCCGAGAAAATTTTAATTCCGGCTATCGGAGGGTTCCCGTTCAAAGGGATTCCAGCTAACGGAGATACTGTATTACTGTATTAAGACATCTGACAGCAATACCTGTGAAATGTGAATAAACTCCTTTACCCATTTACACATGTACTGTGCCTGTAGAATATGAAAAACATTCTGATACGTAATTCTGAAAGGTTACTCCTCTTGCACTATTAGTATATACCACTCAAGGAAATGGCTTAGTGCTAATACTGTGAAGCAGAAAATGTATGAAAAATAATCACCATTTACCATAAGTGATTACAGCAAGAAAAAAAGAGGAATGTCTCATGGATCTCGACACATCACCAACTGCTCCGATTCCTAAGGTGGTTTAGATTTCACAGGTCACTTGTGTGGATTATAAATGAAGGACTGATACATCAAATACTATGTTACGGCTGAGGGGATGGCACCCAAGATTTAAATTCCCTCCTTCCTTCCTAGTGCAAGGTTTACTTATAGTGATGCAGGTGTTTGAAATGCAGTGACCGCTTGGTCATTGAGAGAATCACACTGGGTGAGAAGGCTATATTTTAGCATAAACATTATCTGCATGAGGAGTGTAAATCTTTCTGCTTTACATTACATTGTATGGGGTATTGCATATTTTCTTCCCTTGCTGATAAAATGTAATTGCCTATTTAAATCATTCATTTTATCATATAAATTTCATATTTATCTAATTTTTATACACTGTATTAAGTTTTCCATATAAAGCCTTTCCTTTTAGTGTTTGTTAAATCATGTCATTAATCTATTCTTTTTTTCACAGGGAAACTTGAATATGTCAATGTTACAAAGTGAAGATGTGCGAATTGCTGCCATGGCAGAGATGAGCAAGGGAAAGAGTAAGGCAACATTTTCAAAACTATAAATACAACATTTTCGTAAGACAATAAAAAGCTGTTGGTAGTAAAGAGAAGACAGGTAGTATTATAAGGTTTGTATCCAATTTTTCCAGTACAGTAATTACATTGGTGAAACACTCATAGAGCAATCTGTCTGTCTAGTTTATTTTCTGAAAATTGGATGATGAATTACAGTTTTAATCATATTATTTAACCAGTCCCTTAGTTAGGGTTTACTTTCAAATTGTATTAGTTGTTAACAAATATAAATGGTGCTTATAACCCATTGCACTTTATCTTGGCAATAAAACAAAGGATTAATGTTTTGGAGGAAGATTTGGTAACTAAAGGGTTTTGGAAAATTTTCAACGTGTTTCTGTTGTGGTAGTGAAAAATGTTAATTTATAGACATACATTACTGTATATATATATATATATATATATATATATATATATATATATATATATATATATATATATATATATATATATATATATATATATATACAGTGGTACCCCACTTAACGCGGTCAATTGAACCCAGAGGGTCCCGCATTAAGTGAAAACCGCGTTAAGTGAATAACAGAACATATGGGATTAATTCCAATAGAACCCAGCCCGACCCCCAAACTCCACTTTTTGACGACAAATAACTATGTTGTAGTAAAAATAACATCTTAATTTTATGATGGTACATGCACACAATTAATACTTAAGAGAAATACAGTCGCCAAGTTAATGTCCATTCAAATAATGGACTCAACTCCCTCCCCTCTCACACTACAGTACACAGCCAGCTAACAGATGGTCGGTCGGTCCCTCCCTCCCCCCCCCCACCCCCCACCAACCGTCCCAAGGAGATGTGTGGGATAACCTCAAACTAAAGTTAGGAAAATATAATTGACATTGCTGGATTCCTTGTAAGACCAGGAATATTTTGAATATAAATGTCATATATTTTTCACAAAAGATAACATACTTACTCAGATTAAACATTTTATCTAAAAATTGTATGTTTAATGCAAAAAATATGTTGTTTATATTCAAAATGATCACCAAATTATAAGAATTCCAGCAATGTAAATTATATTCTGGCCGGATAATTTGTATGAATTTTATGAGCTAAAACAAATATCTACAGTTAATAAAAAAAAATATATTCTTCAACACTATCTGTCAATCAAAGTACCCCACCTTGCCTCCCCCCTCTTCCAACCGCGCGGTCAGTCCCAACCCTCCCCCACCCCCCACCAATCCTCCATTCAAGAGTTTTTAACATTTAGTAATAAATAATACCTCAGATTAAAGTTAGGATAATATAATTGACATTGCTGGATTCCTTGTAAGACCAGGAATATTTTGAATATAAATGTCATATATTTTGGACAAAAGATAACATACTTACTCAGATTAAACATTTTATCTAAAAATTGTATGTTTAATGCAAAAAATATGTTGTTTATATTCAAAATGATCACCAAATTATAAGAATTCCAGCAATGTAAACTATATTCTGGCTGGGTAATTTGTATGAATTTTATGAGCTAAAACAGGCAGTCAGGCAGGGTGGCGGGTGGGGGGTGGTGCGAATCTAAAAATAGCTCTCGAGCCGGACACTCACCGCGTTGCTGTGGAAAAATCCGCGTTAAGTGAAAGTTCAGCAAGGCATGTATATGCGAAAACGCTAAGTGAAAAAATACATATATATATATATATATATATATATATATATATATATATATATATATATATATATATATATATATATATATATATATATATATATATATATATAGTATATATATATATATATATATATATATATATATATATATATATTACTCCTATCTTTAGTATTATATTGAGACATTTAGGATACCGCTATGAATTAACATAAAAGGTTCAAACTCATTTCCTACGAGACTGAAACAGAGCTCACTCCAAGGTAGCTGTGTTTATGTAAGGGTATACTTACTCTAAAATCAATTTTCAAATATTGACTGGTCCATTATAACATAAATTGATGCCTTTCCTACAGTAACAAGTTAACACAGAAACTAAGATCTTTTAAGTTTAATTTTTGCTGTCATCAATGTGGAGCAGTTGCTAATTTTCCTCGACAAAAAGGTATGAAAGTAGTGGTACAAGTGAGATGAATGTGGGTTGCTCTAGCAGATGAAGAGACAAATATGAACTGAGAAAAATTGTAAGAAAGAGGGAAGCAAGAAATAGTTAGGAAATTGAAACTGAACATGTTTTTATTGGTAGTTTGCCTTTAATCCCTTGTGTTTAGGGTCCCCACTGAGCTGAATAAAATCATGTGACTTTAGTCAAATAAAATATTAAAATTGGCATCCCATAGTGAAGGGGGTGAAGAACATGTCACAAGGCCACTACATGTATTAGGATCTATAGAGTAATGGTAGCCAAACAAAGGCTTAAATAGGACACTAAATTATAAAAATTGCCCTTTTTTCTTTATTAATTTATGATTATTTGGTCATACATTAGAGACAATGTTTTTGGTATTACAATGATCTCAAGTGAAATATATCATAAATACAGTACAGTATCATAAAAATCAGCAACATCATGAATTTTCTTTCAACACCATCTACCATTTCTAAGTCAGTAGGGTTGAATAGCTGTATCAAACCTTGGTGGAATGAGAAAATTATTATAGACAGTACTAGAAAAATAAGTAAATAAACTCCTTAAAGTTAGTACAGTATACAATTCCTGTTGTGTATGACAAAAATTAAATCGGGATCATATTGGCAAAATCTTCACATCTTCTTCACTAAGCTGCTTCATTTTTAGACCTTTGTTGCCCATTAACTCTTCCATTATTCTCCTTTGTGTGTGGTCTCTTTATCCCTCTCTGGCACACTGCTGACAATTACTTTGTACTAAAACAATTTAGCTGTTGACTCGAATCACCTCTTTAATTATCTACCTCTTCCCTTCCTACCTAACTCATCCATGTATCTTTAAAGAATTTCTTCACCCTATGTATATTTCAGACTTATTCTGTCCAATTTTTTTTTTCTAAATTATTCAAAGGTATACAGTGTAGTAGTGTGTATGATTTTAAAAACTTTTGAACCCTGATAAGCTTGCATTTTTATCTCTTTCTTATTAATTAATGGGATTTGTTTTCTAAATAGATTTTACTGCACAAAATTACTACAGGTATAGTTTTGAAGATCATTTAAATTTCTATGAACTTACCTAGTGTGGTAGATGAAATTTCTTCCTCGAGCACTTCATTTACTGATCACCTTCAAGTTTGTTAACATAGTGCAACAAATATAACTTTTTATGTGGAATTAAAAAATGGAAGAATGGAGGTTTTCCCAACAAATATGTACAAAGGAAATAATTTAATAAGGATTTAAGAAATGTAAGATGGTTTAATAAAGGATACAAGAAAAGGAGAAGAGATTTAAATGAGGGGGAAGGTAGAGAAATTGTGAATGGCCATATCTTGAGGATAGTGGTTGAATGTCTCTCTCTGAATAATTTAGCACTGTTTAAGCTCAATGGTTGGACCTGATGATAACAGAGGTTATTACAATTTAAAATATATATATATAGTACAGTACTCTATATGATATAATTTTGAGATTTACAAACATTTCTTGTATAGGTACTTTGAATCCATACTGTTTTATATCATAGTTGTAATAAATTTTTATATTGGGTTTTCATTATATTTATTTACACTGAGTTTGTATAAAATTGAAAGATTGAACCAAAAAAAGAACATGTTTTATAGCTGAGGACAAAGATGAGTGACTTGAGAGATATCTCCAATAGAACGCCCCATTTGAGCTTGCCTTCAACACGTTCCAGTAGCAGGCTGTGCTGATAACAGATGATTGTAACTGCTGTAAGTAATGCATTAGTCAGTGTTCTCTTGTACTTAACAGAACTGAGGTTGTAGAATTATAAATCATGGAGGTACTGTCTCTACATTTTGGTACTAACTTCAAAATTCAGTTATAAATCAGTTACTAGTGGGTGAATGTGCTCTTTCCTCCCCCTGGCATACTTCAATCCATCCCATCCCATCCCATCTTACAAACTACAATGCCCTACATCTGAATCATTTATATTTTGTTTTTTGCCAATCATTCTCTCACTATGTCCATACCATCATATTACGCCATGGATATGATTCCTAACTGGAGTCGAGGATTGGGTTCCCTCCCATACAATTAATTAGTATATGCACCATACATTAATTGTTTTTGAACACTGTAATAATAACCTAGAGTATGTTTTAGATAAAACAATAGACACTTTGCAGTAAGGTTAACCTTTCACATTCTGGAACAAGTGTCTGCCTCATATAGTCTGAGGTTAATGCTGCACTTAGAGGTGCAAGAAAGTGGTATAAACTTTGTTACAATATAATTTCTGCTGCTGTGAACCATCCTAATAAATTACTACTCTGCTTATAAAAGCGTCACTATACAGTACTGTATATATCTGTTATGCCGAAAAGGCTTTCTCATAATACCATTTTGGCATAAATGCCCACTGTGGATCATGCCCTAAATATGTGCAAGATATGTCACCTCCATTACACTCTCTTTGAAACTTGTATACTGCTTCTGGATCATCGACTTGCACACAGGTCTTGACAAATTCCAGGAATTTGTTGAGGAAATTCAGCATTATTTCTGGCTTCCAGTGATCCTGTGAATAGAAATTATAATTTAGACTATGCCAAATTGTACTCATGCATGGTTACTCATGAAATGAATGATGTTACAGTATTTATTAATGAACAAGAAATATTGCACTTTTCCCAATTTTAAGTTAATTTTTCTTCACATTTGCACACTGTAATACAAATGGTAAATATGAAAATCAATACTGTATATACAGTATATATTACTACACCTTCTCTTAGACCTCCTCAACAGATGTTACAATCTGATGAGTTTGATGAAGAACTATAGGTGTATTAGTGCAGATCTTTGAGACAGTGATTCAAAATTAGTGTATGAATGAGACAGTAGTACAGTACATATATATTAGTATTAAAATAACTGCCCCACACTACCTACCTCTGCACTACATTCAGGAGCCCTTTGGAATTAAAGGTAAGCACTTATTTAAATAAGTAATCACCTTTATTTGTGTTTTACAAGTTATTATTGTTTTTTATTCATTACATTTATTAATTTGTCATTTATATCTAAGTCATAGGCCAAAATTATTGTTGTATAAAATGTATTATCATAGTTTTATTTAGTTTTATTTTCGAAAGGGGTGAGTTGTAAATATTTTTTTATCTACATAAGCATAACCCTCCTTCGGGCAAACCAATATCCAGAGGCCCAATATAACTACCTGGTACAGTATCAATTATATCTTGCATTCCTTCATTGTAACCTTTTTTTTTTCAAGCATATCCCATTATAATAGAAGATGGATCATTGTAAATCCTCACACAACTCTCCCTTCATTCACTCATTCTTACTGTTGTAATTGATTTGTTCTACTGTGGTAATCCATTTCCACAACCAGTCCCCATATATTCATCTGGTTTATTCTTGCTGCTTCACACAACTTAGCATCACTCAATAGCAGCATGTCCTTCACCAAAAATTAATTAATGAGATGAACTCCGATCATTCATGTACCATGATGCTATTTTAATTTGCTCTGTCTTTCTGCATTTAAAGTCCATTCTTCATCCCTATATAATATTGGCCCAATAATTCCTCTACATATCCCCATAGTTAACTCCTATGATATAACTCTTTAACCACATGTCTTAATGCATCTACTACTTTCAAAGTTTATATTTATAATTAAGTTCAATTCATCACTCACCTTTCCATTTCTTGATTCTTCCATTCTCAGATATCTTTTAACACTTCACTTCCTCCATTCCAGCTAAAAATAATATCTCTCCTTTGTTCAAATAATGTCTTCATATATACAGTATATATATATAATATATTATTTCTGTACCTGCGCTATGGATGACATTTCTTCAACATCATAAGTCTTCAAAGTGTGGACTTTTCCGTCCGTATTCCGAAATCCACAAACAACACGTGGTATGCCAACTAAATATGACTGACTCCACCATTTCATAAGCTTAAACCTGATAAAAATGAAGAAAAGGAAAAACCCTTTTAATTAAGAGAAATTAAAGATGTACAGATGAATTAGTCAGCAGCATTCTTGTAAGGGGCAAAATTACACCAAATAACCATGTACAGTACAGTAATCCCTGATTATTTGTATATTTTATATTTGTGCCTTTTGACTATTTGTGGGGGGTGAATAAAATATTAATACTGTACAGCAATTTTAAATATCATACATATGCTTGAAAATTACGGGCAACTACTGTGGCATGAATAAATGTGCATCTTGCAGCCAGCTCCCCTCTCATGCAGTCGTCAGTCATTTGCACTTTGATTAAGTGCTAGTATACTTATGAACATGATCACTGAGGAGGGGTTACCTGCCAAAACAGGTGCTTAATGTGGATGTGACTGGATTATATCAAAGAAATGCGAGATAGAACATACATTGCTGAAGTGGCGAAGAGTATGTCAGGTTTAAGGCTGTACTGGATGGTATAGCTGTACTGTATATCAATAATTTTTGTAATTTTTACAATATGTTCATTTCTACAAGAGGAAAGTTGGACTTACGAGAAATTAAACATGCAAACATGTCTCACGAATGTAAATCGTTCATAAGTAGAGGAGCACCTGTACTTATGTTCAGATACAGATATCCCTCATTATCTGAATGTTCAGTATTGAAAAATTTGCTTATCCAAAATTTTTATTCTTCCAAGTCTTTTCCACTTAATGAAAACAAATCCTCTCTTATTTGAAAGAGGGTCTGATCGAAAATTCAAATCATCCCGTGGTGATGCCCTGACTGCCCTCCGATAAGGTAATTTATCAATCTGGAGGACAGTATATTTGACTTAGTTTAGCAATTATCGTTCAGTATTTATTTTTTTATCTCTCCGTTAGCTTGAATCTTCAATCCTCAAAACTCTCCATTACTAGCCGGATTTTATTTATTTATTGTTTTGAACATTCTAAGAAATTCCGGAAATTTTTTCCATTTGGGTACCGGTATCTGAACGAATTTTCGAGGATTGCATAATCCACATTTCCAGAAAATTCAGAAATAAATACCACCATTCCAGGCATTTGAACAAATTTCCGAGATTGCATCATGTGTTTACATGTGCCGGGCACGATTGGCCATAGTACTGTACAGTACTGTCATATGACTGCATGGGATACCTGTGATTGGCTGATGTATCCCGCAGTCTAGTATTGCCTTGGTCTCTTGCATCATTACACTCTTATCTCATTGTCTGCTGCCAATGCTACTAGTTCCTGAGACAAACACTGAATTTGTATGGATTCAAAAGGTTGGAGAGTTGCTATGCATTTTTTGTTTGGAGAAATTTATTCCTTATTAAGATAATGTCCCTTGCTGTCAAGCACTATACTGTACAGAGTACAACCAGCAGCACTTTCTGTCTGTGAGATGCTTGGCAGTGTATTTCTTTCCCAGGTCTCTCATGAGGCTCCGTACACCATGAATTAAGAGAACCACCATATTAATCTTAAACTTCATAGATGTAAAGTTCAAAGATAATTTTACATTAAATAATATCAAAATGATGTTCCAATTAGTGGCCTTTAGATGTTACCATTAAAATATTTAGTTCTCAAAATAACTGAGCATCAACCTAACTACTAACTTTAATACAGTAATCTCACCTGCACAGCGCACGGTAGTCTCTGTCTTGTACAGGCTCTTTACCAGTTTTGAGCTCCACAAAAGACTTCAGGTCAGAATGGGGAGTTTTATATGTAGAAGGATCAGCTCCATCCACCTCGGCTCCATACACAAGGGAATGACTTTCTAAACGTGAGCGAATTACACAGCAGTACTCTTCATTTTCGTTCACTCCTTTTGTTGGGTCACTCCCTATGATTGTGAAGACTAATTGTTATTAAAATTTTTGAGGGATGTGTAATACATACATGATATATATATATATAAAATTATATTCCTTTTAGTGAGCACATCCAGTACCATATTAATGAGTACTAAACAAGAAAAAGATATGTTTTGTTGAAAACTTATATTATCAGGTCTGCTCATCACACTAGAGAAACCATTTGCTTGTAGCGGCAGTAAAAGGGAGTACTACTGTATTTTGAATTGGTCCTCAAGCATGCACCAAAATCAAGAAACACTGTTCCAGAAACTTGTCACTTAATATTTTGTGATCATGGAGAATACATGAAAAACAAACACTTAACATGAAGACAAAATAATGGAGAAGAGAGAGGACAGAAGAATTTAATGCAAGTAGGCTAATGTGGCTGTACTATGAAGAGTGGTGCATAGATAACTAACTATCATATGGTAAAAGCAAGATTAATATGGAAATGGAAGATTCAGAGAAGTGAGAAACAGTTAGATAAGTGAGAGGGCGTTTATAAAAGTTGATGAACTGAGGAAAGAAAAAGTGACTGAACAATTTATGAATATATTACTGGAGACAAAATGAAGACATATTGTACATGAAGAAAATGGGAACAGTTTAAGAGGGTGCAGTCTTAAAAAAAAAAAAAAAAGCAGCTGAGGTGAATGGGCATAAAAAAAATAAAGGAAATAAGAAGAGGGAAAGAGAGGTTGCCCGAGTTCATCAAGGAAAAGACAAGGCTTATGGGCATCAACTACAAGAAAAGAGCGACAAAGGAGAATATAAGAGAATGGTGAAAGAAGAGCAAGTGAAATACAGGGGAAACGATTATCACAAAGTTTTAAAATGAAAAAGCTGCTCTGGATAGAACTCAAGAGAATGAGAAAAATGGAGACCAAATGGAAATGGCAGCTGAGAATGGAAGAAGCGAAATATGTGTTTGTTTTACAATATCATAAAAAAAAAACATACCATCTGTCATATATTGTTCAAACTTGTAACCCCAAGCTGACATTGTCTTCTGCAACTCGGTCGCATTTTCACGCTGGGACTGTTTCTCAGGAGTTTCATAAGCACATAAGTATATAGTGTCACGGAACCTGGAAGAAAAAGTATTTAGTGTTACAGAACTTAGAAGAAAAAGTATATCGGAAATACAAACCTGCAATGCCATGGTGACGCTTAAAACACATCAACTAAACCAATAAAAATTTACAAGTCTCTTTAAATGTTATATTTTTTGTTCAGAAGTTACCTTGCTCTTGGTGCTGGTTCAAGATTCACAAAGCTCCAGGGGGATGCACACGCTGAGATGCAATCAACTGTACTTCATCGTATTGCTCATTTGCTAAAGTGAAGCACCTGTTTTGTTTAACCTTGTGTGATTGGCTATAAAGTCATTAAAACTGCACTATTTCTTGGGCCTGTATGCTGTGTATAGCCTATTTTGAGCTCTCATTAGTTGACAAAATTTGGGATAATTGTTTGAATGGCCAAAGACTGGCTAATTGGTGCTTGTCTGTACAAGTATATGTACAGTTTTTACAATGTGGGTAATTAAGTCTATTGCATGTTATTTGAATTAAGGACAACAACAGATTCACTGCATCTACCTAAGGGAGAGTTTGATAAATATTACTTTTATCCTCTTCACCACTGTTCGGCTCATTAGCCGCTTGGGCTAAACCATTACCCAGGAACATGATCCGCAAATCGATTAACATTCAGGTTCCTAATTACTGCTGGGTAGACAGAGGCAAATGGCGTAAAAAACTAACCAATAGTTTCAGCTTGCCTGGGGATTGAACCTGGGTCTGCTCGCTTGCGAGGTGAGCATGCTGACCATTACACCACTGTAAGCTTTGACTACAAGTTCTTTAAAAGAAAAAACTAAGTAAGAAGTTAACTATAAGCAAGAAAATTTATAACTGATCTCATTCTAGATGCACCAAACCCTCTCCCCCCCAAAAAAAAGATAAATAAACAAATGAATATTGTTTCTTAACCATAAAGCCACTTACTTGGTTGCACATATAATCCAGCCCTCTTTGCTTTCATATGGTGTACAAAGTAACTCGGTGAGCAGTCCCCTAAAGCAGACGAAATCTGTTGAAAGACTATGATGTGACAGTAAAAAAGTTATGGTAAAAATTATAATAAATACTGCAATACTGTGACAACAATACAGTAATAAAATAATATCTAACTATTCTTTTAATTCTTTCAGCTTGGGTGATGTGTATTTGACCAATTTTGAGATTCAATTTCAATAATACTCATAATACTGTACTGTACTGTAAAGTCGTAAGTTCTAAGGACAAATAATGAAGCTTACCATTTAAGTGGTTTGTCAGAAGAGTCTTTTGTTTGAAACTTATACAAGTTCTGGAGAATCCATTCTAATAAACGATCAAGTTTTTCAGTTTTAGTTTCTTCAAAATTCTTCCGTATCATTTTATCCATGGCCACATTCAGATCATAATCCACCTGATGATACACCATATGTGGAAATAAGAATGCAAAAATCACAAGCTAACTACACTGCAGTATAAATATATCAAACTGTGCAAGTACAGGTATCCCTCAATATCTGAATGATCGCTATACAAAAATTCACTTATCCAAATTTTCTGTTTTTACACCTCTTACTTGCTATCTGAATGTTGGTCCAATTGAATATTCAAATCGCATTACATTTTGGCCCCTAGATGCATATGGTAATGTACTGTACCTATTGTATACTGCATAGTACATAGTATTTTTTTTTTTTATAATTTTTTTGTAGGTAGGTATAATATTGCTTTTTTGTTGTTGTTTGTGAACCAAATTAATTTTTTTTTTTTTTTAAATATTGGGGTGTTTTTGTTTGGGAACGAAACCTTGTTTTTCCCATTTACTGTATTACAGGGATGTTATTCATTATCCAGAAATTCAATTACTGGATAATTTTCAAGGAACCTACCCACTTCGGAACCAGACCCCTTTGAAACCTAACCCATTCAGACGGTGAGGGATACTTGTAAAATATTGTAATTCATGACAGTTATACAGTATATGTAAGATTGATCTTGAAATTCATTTTCCTTATGGAGTTCATTGCCAGGAAGTTCTTGTAAAGTAGGACTTGTTACTGGGGGGTTATGGTCCTTAGACAACCCCCATAATATCAACCAGGGTGGATTTATTTCTCTATTTTGGATATATAATCACCTTTCCCTTGTGCTACTATATACCCAGTCATATTTTTTATAATATAAAAGATAAGACTATGGGTATATTGTAGCAGATATATTATATCTGCAACATATTTGCAGTAATAAATAAGCAAATAGAATTTTTGCTGCCAAAGAGAAGATACACAAAATAAAAATTAGGTGTGGTGACATAAACAGTAAGGTGGTACAATAGAAGTGAAAATACTGGAGCATTCTGTAACTGAACCTCCAAATATTGTACTACAGTGGCCAGTACTGTACTGTATATGACATACCACTTGGTGAGCTGCATTGTGAATACAGTATGGGCTCAGAAACCATGACAATCAATATCAAACTTACTACCAGTAAATGAAAATTATTAAACAAAACTTACGAGTACTGTACATATTATTAACATTTAATAAATACTGTCGAGTATGATCGTATACTGTACCTTCTTGGATGTTTGCCAATCCATGCTGATGTAATGTAGATTTCTCTTGTCATGATAAAATCGTCGTTTGCCATCTAAGGAAAAGTCACCAACAAACATAGGCCTTCTAAACAAAGGTGCATCATGGTCATATTTGTTACGAGGATGAACCTGGAACTGGGCACCATTGTTATCTTTTCCCGAGTCACGATTTGTTGATAAATCACGTGTTTCTCTTCTCTTGTAGGGTGGTATATAAGTCTCCCTGTGATTAATTTTTCTCTTTAACCTGGGACAGAAAAGAAAATAATTCCATTATTGTTTTCTTCTGTCTTTCTCAAATAATTCAACATTAATTTCTTGGTATATATACTGTACTCAATATTTTCTGATTGATGTTCTCATTTAGGTAAGCCTTACATACATCAAACTTATTGGTGTATTTTATAGGACGGTATTGTTGCATTTTCAACCAATATGGAGCCAAAGGCACCCCATGTCTTGGTTATTATTCAATAGCAACAAGTAAAAGTAGGGTTCAGAAGTTAGCTCTCAATGAGATCTAATAAATTTTTAAGTAAAAAAAACTTTGGCTGCATATCGGTTGAAAATGTAACATTACCGTCTTATATCATGCAAATAGTAGTTCCAGAAATATTGGTTCAATTCCAAAAGTGGCAATTATCTAGGACCCCACAGCTGCTGATTTTTCATAGAAAACAAATTTAAAAATGCCGTAATTTCAATGTTTTTTTTTTAATAGTGGACACTTGTATTTATGGCAAATGTGTTGAAAAGTGGTTATTTCTAAATTAGGTAAAAATATAGTTTCGGTCAGTCCTGTATTTAGATATACCAACCAACCCACCCCACCCCACCCCAGAACCCAAGAACTGTATCTAACCTAACTGAGGGGGCTTTGCCCCCCCTTTCTGGTTGTGGGGTTAGAAGACCTAACCTAACCTAACCAAAGAAACTCACCTAACTAACTAGCCGTGAGGCTCAACTCTCTGGACCCCCCCCGCATATTAAACAAAGAACTTGCTATTACGTATATGATATAAATCCTTGATGTAACCCCATAAGTTAACTTCTAGAGGTGAGGTGAGGTTAGATTGATTTTTGAGTTGAGCAATGTGCTTTTCCAATGGTTTTTGGTGATTTTTATAGGGGGGCTATCGGGTAAAATTATCGTTTTGGACATGTAGCGAATTTTAAGTTTTGGAATCAGTAGTTAAGACAATTCTAAGACACTTTTCTTCTCTAGCGTTTCCGTCGGAAATTTATATTTTTTGAGTATTTTAATTGATAAAATTAAGGCGTTTTTTGTAGATGCACGGAATAGCTAACGCGTTAGCTTTCCCAGACTGTCATTTCAAAATATGACCGTGCTGCGTCTTGGGAATAACTGTTGTACAACACAGTCTTCAGAAAACAATAAAATTAGGGGAACTGTTATTTGGACACAATATGGAAAGAAATTGCGAAGAAATATATGGAAAATTATGGAAAGAAAGACAAAAAGGGAAAAAAGTCAAAAATAAATAAGACTAAAAAAATATCGGCCCGTTGTAATGGTGATTTCTCCCGGACTCTGAAACCACACGTAACAAGCAGAGCATTCTGCTCCACTACGCTTCTTCTCTCGTGGCTAGGTGTTCTCATACTTATACACAAAATATGACAAATTTCAGGTTTGTTTAAGTCTTAATATTTACACTTACAGAACTGTAATCAACTTATTCATCCTTATTTAAAGTATCTTATGAGTAATGGTAGTAAGGTTTCAATCAATATGAGTAATTATCAATATTGTTACACCAAAGTTTCCAACAGCTAATGAAATCAGACAGCGCCCACTTATAAAAGCGGGGATCCAAAACAGTTTCAACTAGGTGCGATCCTTTTAATTTTTTTCACGCCATACTCTTTGTTTTAGGTCCTATCCAATATAATACTGTATACAGAATTATTTTTATTATTAAATCACAGTTTTTTATTGCCTTACATGCCCTCAACTCTTCAATATTAATCAAAATATTCTCCATAAGCGGCCATGATCTGCGTATTTGCCCACTGGAGAAACTCGCTGATTGGTTGTTAGCTATTCGGGCGTTGCACACGCTAATGCCTCATCAAGGTGTTTGCTTTTCCCTCTCAAGGAGTCATCCGCGGAACTCAGCAGATTATGCACCGACAGAATAGCTAACACATTAGCTATTTCATGCATATACAACAAATTCCTTTACCAGCAATACTAATTGTTTAAAGTGGCCATTGTTTTTGAAGTAGTGGGAAAATGTGGGCTAAAAAAAAACCTAAAACTTTTGAAAACCTGACCTAATGTTTCCAAACTTTTAAAAATACTAAAACTATATAAAGGTTAGGGCGGTTTGCACCAGAAACGAAGGTCAGATTTGTTCCAATCGCAACAAGAATCATAGGAAAAATGTGTTTTTTTATGGAAAAAATCGAAACCTAGCTACTATCATAAATTGACCAAATTTCTGACGGAAACGCTATAGCAGTGTAGTAGAATTGTCTCAGTTACTGATTCCAAAAACTTAAAATCCTAAAATTCGCTACATGACCGAAACGATAATACCTAAAAATCACTATCAAAATCGAATTAAAAAAACAAAATATAGAAAAAACACATTGCTCAACTAGAGAGCCATATTGGTTGAAAATGCAAATTTACCACCAAGACTTTCAGGGGATGACAATTAACATTCGGTAACCCAACCAAGTTTGGGTTAATACTCACGAGGACATGTTAAAGTTCTTGTTATGTTCACAGTATATGCTTTAATTCACTCTTCTGCATGCAGTTTACACTAACACTTCTTTCCTTTACTGGTCAGGATAGATAACCTCTTTATTTAAACAATCTCACATAAACGACTATCAGTCCTGTCGTTTTATTTACTAACAACATGTGATTGTTTGGCGTCGTGTTCACAGTTCACGCCGACCATGAATTCGGATTGTTAGTTTATGTACCGTTGTTAAATTTAGCCCTCTAACAAAAATTAATTATCTCCGTAATTTTTATTTGTCGCTCATATTGGGTATTTAAATGCCAAGAGGCGAGGATAAAAGTAAAGGTTACATGTTAAAAGTACCAAAATAAAGAAACATTATTTTATTACATACACAACAAATGGCAGCGGCAATATAGTAAGCCATCTTGAATTAGTACTACAGTCATATATATGTTTATTATATTTTGGGATAAACGATAAAATCCAAAATATTATAAACTAATTAGTAATATTTTAGGATATATTGGGAGTTTTAGTTAACGTATTTTTGGAAATAAAATATTTAATGGCAGTGGTTCGTCTCCAACAGTGTACATCTTCAGTCATTGTTGTGCCTGCTGTTGAAACTTCACTGAAAATATAACAATTATAGTGTTTGAAATTCATATGACAAATGGTTCAGTGCTATCCCAACCCCTGGGTAATATTTGAAATAGATTCGTCTCATATTTAGTATTGTACAGTATTATCAGTAACATGGCGGGGTTTAGCGGAGTGCTGAGGTTGACAGATCTGGATGATTTCATTGCACCTTCCCAGGTAATTATGTATTACATTTAACAATTGGGAGCCCTTGTGACGTTATTAAGTTTGGAATCTGGAGGTTTTGAAAGTCTGAGGTGCTGCTTCACTTTAGAAAATTAGGATACCTCTATTTTACCTTATTTACTGAAAGTGTGTGGTGTGCGGTGGTCGAGTGGATACAACGCTCGCCTCCTCCTCCAGGGGTCGGTTGTTCGATTCCCTGGAACTCCCAGTTCAACCAGCTGTAAATGGGTACCCGGTCATCCGGGTATTCAGAAGTTGTTCAAAATACATAAAAAACCATTGCAAAAACAAATTTTCAACCTAACCTAAGCTTAAAATCCTAAAATTCGCTGGATAATCGAAATGATAATAATACCATGCTGTCTCCTTGTGTACTGAAGGCTTAATATACAGTGTGCTGTATCCACACTGTCCCTAACAGGCAGTTAGGCCTGTGGGACTCACTTACACTATTTAATTTAATGGCCACTCTACAGTTACTAGGGGGGGGGGGGGCTAACCAAAGCTAACCGGTAAAATTATGGTTTTGGTCTTGTAGCGAATTTTAGGATTTAAACTTTTGGAATCAGTAGTTTAGACAATTCTAAAACAATATTACTCGTTTAAAGTGAGCAGGGCTTTGAAGTACAGGTAAATGTGGGGTAAAAAACACAAAACAGATGATGGAAAACCTGACCTGCCATTTCCTAACCTTATTCATGTTTTCAGTGGTTAGTATGTGTTGGTGTTGTTTTAGATGTTCAGATGAAGAGTGATCCATAAACTTGAAAATGATTCTTAACATTTTTACAAGTTAAGAAACATTAAATAAGGTTTTCAATGGTTTATTTAGTGTTATTTTTAGTATTTTACCCGACTTTTTTCCTCTACTTCAAAGCCCTGCCCACTGTGAACATCCAAAGTAATGGTTTTGCAGAATATCTTACCCAAGGGGTATTGCTGCTACTCATTTCACTTTCTGGTCACTTTCCTAAAATCTCTAGATAGGGTAAATTGTTTGGAAAATGCAAGAAATTGCTTGAGGGTTCTGTTGCAGCATAAAGCTGAGTTCAAAATATTCTGTTGGCTTGTAAACAGTTTTGTTGCAACATGCTTTAGGCAGTCGAACTGCACGGGAGCACGGCTGGGCTCGCCCAGAATTTGACCGAACGTTAAGTGAGAAAGGGTGAAGAACAAAAATCGCTAAACTGAATTAATGTTTTATTGAATGGTGAAAATATAATCCATAATATTTAATATCAGTTGCAGTGAAAATGAGAGCTATTCAGCAATACTGTTTAGCTACCACATTTTATTATTTCTTTTATTATTTTTGGATTTTATTCACAGGAATGCATCAAGCCAGTGAAAGTTGAACAGAAAGCTGGTCGTGGTGTGATACGCATTGATGGTGATGGAGCAGATGCTTTGGCAGCGGTATGGTATATTTTGTCATAGAAATTTGAAATACTGGTATGTCATTTACATTTACCTCACTAGGCTCATAGCCTGGATGCCATGATGTTAGCCAGGTCCTCCACACTTCCTTTATGCAGCCAGATAACATTATTCCATAAGCTGATAAAGCTTATGAAACAATACAATTAATCAGTTTATGTTTGTACTTTGATGGAAGAAAGATATTGAGAGGTAAGATAGGGATAAAAAAAATTAAATGACCATATTGAAGTGGATAATATTGCATGAAGCAAAATTAAAATAAAATATTTATGGATTCATTATTTTATGCTGTAAACATTAACCAGAACAAAAGAAAAATTGTGACTAAAATGTTATAAAAATAAAAAAAAATTAATATGGTAATAAAAGCAAAATTGTTCTTTGTATAACTCCAAAATATAATTATCATGTACACTCAACATTAGGTAAAATTTGATAAAATATTTTGTGCCATACCCTTTGATTTCAGGTAAAACAAACAAAACAATACAATTAATTAGTTTATATTTGTACTGTACTATGTTGTAAGAAAAATGTTGGTAGGTAATGTTTGTGTTCTAATTATTATGATGATTGCAGCCAAAGTTTGAAAAGGCCAAGATTACACTGAATGACTGCTTGGCATGCAGCGGCTGTATCACATCAGCGGAGGTAGTTCTGGTCAACCAACAAAGTCATGATGAATTTTACAGGTGTGCATTAATGATTTAAATTTTTTTTAAGTTATAAAAGATATTCTAATGTAAAAACTGTATATTTTTTATCATACAATCATACACCGTGTGGTTGTTATTGTTTACTGTGAAACCTTATTAAAAAACTATAAGGAGAATACATGTTATGAAAATAGCTATTTAACATACTACTGTACTGTATTCTACAATTTTGTTTTCACATTAAATTTGCTTTTGACATTTCAGAGTTCTTGCAGAAAACAATGAGCTTCAGGATTCAGAGAAGAAGACAGTTGTAGTGTCATTGTCTCCCCAGGCAATAATTTCCATTGGTGCTAAGTTTTTCCTTAGTGCTGATGAATGTGCTCAAAGATTAGCAGGTATGTAGAGAATTTGTCTTATAGCTGTTTTATAGTCAAATATCTTGAGAGGCTTAAACTTGTAAATCTTTGTAGTTTTATTGTTCATAATGCCCGAGAATCTGAGACACCTTGTCTACAAATGTGTCACTTGGCAAATGCAGTTTTAGAAATTGATGCCAAAATCTTGGTAGCTTGCTGGTTATAGCACCCTTAATTTTAGACCACTTTACTGGATTTTATAGTTACTACAATATTGGGTAAATACAAGTTGATCACTGGGGCTCTAGGTTCTCAGACTACAACCATTTTGCCAACCAGAGTTGATCTGTTGAACCATTTTTGATATACAGTACTGTGCTGATCATTCTGCCTTCCTTGTCAAACCATCAGCACTCTCCATAGGTCTTGTTTGCAATTTTTTAATAAATCACAGATCAGATTTTAATTTTAAACTGCACCCTATTCTCAGGTTATTTAAAAAAGTTGGGTGTCCACTACATCTTTGACACTAACTTTGCACGAAGCCTGAGTTTGTTGGAAGCACAGAAGGAATTTCTAGAACGATACAGAAGAAGAGAATCTGATTCGAAAGCCTTACCAATGCTTACCTCTGCCTGCCCAGGTTAAGTACAGTATTATTTTTTGTAATGATGTATATTATTGATGTTTATAGTAATACAACAGAAGAGTGTAATTGGGGGAGAGCGTGTGGGATCAGATTAGAAAGAAAATTGGTGAATTAGATTGCATTAAAAAGTACTGTATAAGAGAAAAATATCCACTTGTAGTATTTTATAATCCTGAAAAAGCATATGATGATAGAAAAGAGATTTGGAATTCAGTGACAGTGTATAAATTAAATGAGCAAATGGTGAGTATTAGAATTTGTTTAATGTCATCATGGTGGTTTAGTATACGTAGTAGGCCTTTGAATTTAGTGTAGCTTATTTTCTCAGAAAACCTTGGATTTATTGAATTTATGCAGATCTACTTAACTTCTGTATGATCAATATAATTTTTTTTTTGTTACAGGTTGGATATGTTATGCAGAAAAAACTCATGGGTCTTTTATTTTGCCTTATATCAGCACTACCAGAAGTCCACAGCAGGTGCTGGGGTCTTTAGTAAAGAACTTATGGGCCTCACAGAAGGGTATCCCTTCCAATAAGGTGAGCAAAAAACCAGGTCTTGGCTTATGCATATGTTAGGCTAGGCAAGATGTGGTTGAAGATTTTTCTAGTTATTACCCTCAAGTGAAGGGCTCTCAAAATACAGTAAAGGGCAGCTAACCAGGGAGTCATATGTCTTAGTACAAACCTTCATAATGTAAGCCTTGGTTATTCTGTTAATTCATTTGGATATTCTAAGTACTTATCACCCTATCCTCCACCTAGCATCTTTAGTTTCAATTGAGGGGAAAATTGCAAAATTGTTGCCCCTCTGGGCTTGAGGTCTTATTAGAACTGTGACTGCTCAATCAGCACTCACCATGCCAAGGCTACTGTCCACCAACAGCAGTTAGTTCCTGGCTTACAGTCCAATAGGACAGTTGCAGCTAAGGTACTCTCCCCTACTCTGCATATAATGTATTCTACAAAAGCTAAGAATGGACCCCTTTAGATGCTTCAGGATTCTGCAAAACAAATTTTAATTTTTGAATTTGTTGTACAGTATATGAATATTTTTGACGTGGTCCCTCGGTTAATGAACGGTTCGATTAACGAAATTTCGGTTAACAAACTACCTCCCATAAGGATCTTCAATTTGGTTAACGAATAAAACTTCGATTAGCGAAATCCTTACGACAAACACGTTTTGTTGTGAGTATCAACTGATCAGCTGATAGGCTAGTCTGCCAATTCAGTAATCTGTCCTATGTTTACGTTCATTTCCAGTGGAGTAAATATCAAGAAAGTTGTGCTCTTTAATATCTGTGCATTTTTTTTATTAAAATTATTAGTTATTTTAAAATTTAGTTAACATATTGATAATATATGCAGTACTGGGAACTATTTTTTTGTGCGCCCATCAGCTGCTTGACTCACCCACCAGGTGTCAGTATGGTTTTGTTTACAGTGGAGTGAACATCGATTTTGTTGGTGTCGAATATTTTTGCATTTTTACATTAAAATTATTGGTCATTCTGTAATTTAGTTAACATATTGATAATATATAGCTCAGTGCAGTGTTAATTTAAATAAAATAATCTTGAATTACACTTAGTAAACTTAAAATTTTATTGGTGAAATTAATACATCAAGCATGGGTCCCCTTAAAGGTGATTTCTCCTCCATCCCCACTTCCTTCTCTTCTCCGTTCTCCTCCACCCCCACTTCTAATTCCCATCATCATCATCATCAACCAGGAACCTTCTACATACACACCTCATAGTAAGTGTACTTTACTGCAATTTCTTTTTGCTTTGCATGTACTTTTCTGTGAGCTGGAACCAATTACCCAATATCCCATTGAAACAATGGATTCGGTTAACAAAATTTTCGGTTAACGAACGACTCTGTGGAACGAATTGTGTTCGTTAACCGAGGGACCACTGTATTTGCAAACTATCTGTTCCCAAGTTAGTCAGGTGATTAAGAAAGGTCATTAGTGGAACATGTTATTCAGCTGTCAGGGCCAAAATTTTGTGTCTAACTTTTTATTTAATATTTTTTTCATGGCATCTGGGGGTCACAGAATCATTCTGGACCACATAATGATGAATATGGCAGTTGTTGATTAAAAGTTTTGTTGACATAATGGAAATGGTTTCTATGTTGGACGATATGAATATTTTAATTAAGAAATAGGTTTGATTAATATTTATCCTAGATTAAAGGAAATGCTGGAGCTTAGAAGGCTAAATTATCAACAGAGTTCATATCTATATTATCTTTTGTTTTTTATTTTAATTATCCAGGAGAGCTTGCATTTATACTATACTATACTATACTGTATTGTACTCACAGGCTACTGAATCACCCAAAAAGGCATTACACAGGGGAAAAAGTATCATAAATGTAACTTTTTCAGATTTATCATGTGACTGTTATGCCTTGCTTTGACAAGAAATTAGAAGCTGCTCGAGATGACTTTTACAATGAGCTGTATGCAACACGTGAGGTGGATTGTGTTATTACATCAGGTATGGTAGAGATATTCCTGTAATATATGATAGCAATTTTCTTAGCTCTTGCAGTCACCATATTTATGGGTTTGACAGCCCAGGGTTTCCTGTAATCTTAAGTGTCTGACCTGGACTAAGTTACAAAAAATCCATAAAATAAATCTCTTCCTGTTCAACCATAGTCCCTACAAAGTGGATATTTGAAGGTATTAATGGCCAATTGTGCGAGAGTTGGGAGTTTTCATCCATCACTCTGTGACTCATTACCATGGTTACAAATTAAGCTGCAGTACTAATTCATCTCATCTCCAGATGTTATGACTAGTGACTTCAACTTTCACTTTTTCATCCTTCATCTTTCAAAACTTCAGCTCAAGTTAATTAGTGTTTATGAATACTGTAAAGAACAGTATGATAGAATAATACTTCTGCATTTTGCTTTCCATTTACAACCTCAGAATAAGTAAGGAAAATTTGAGTGTTTGGTAGACTATCTGTACATTTAAGAATGTGACCAACACTGTTTAAACTACAATATCTCCCACTCACTGGACATATGTAATAAAATCAGTTGGTAGGAATTTTGAGAGGAAATTCTATAAATTAACTATTGTATTTCATAAACCACTATTTTCAGTACAAACACATAATGTACACTACATGTTGATGTCTACTGTTTCTTTGTAATAATAATTATCCAAATATTTATGAGTAAAAAATTGTGCTGTCTCCACTACACTGTACTGTGTTTCTTCTATCTTTCCTACCATTTAGTCTAATGAAATAAAATAACAATATTGATATACCTGTAATTATAAAAATATACAGTACCGTACTGTACTTTAATTCCCCATGTAAGCACACTATAATAAAAAGTTTAACAGTATATATTATGAATTACTACATATTTTTAATATAAACTCACCAGATACAGTAATAAGTTGTTAAGATATAAACCAATACCATAGGTACACTACTGGTACAGGTTGCATTTCAAAAATACAAACTTCAGTTATCCCCCCCAAAAATGAACAAAATTGAGATGCCCTAACAGCCCTACACTTCCAAATCATTAATTATAGGTACAGTCAGTAAAATAAGTATCAACCACCCCAAGGTCAGTGAAATAGAAAATGAGTGATAACAACCAACTGACGCCAGTAACCAGAGTTATGGTTGTCGCACCATGTTTCATGTTGTTACACACGGCAGGGTAGTCCTTACAGTACTTATTTTATTGACTGTTCTGTATTGTATATGTCTTCATCTGCTCATGATCTGTTAATGTTTCAAATGTCACTCTTACAGTGGAGGTTGAACAAATGCTGATTAGGGATCAGGTTGATATAACCTCTGTTAGCCCAGTATCATTGGATGTTGACCTGAGCTCTGGGCCTGTGTTGACCTCCCATCATGGGTCATCATCTGGGGGTTATGCTCACAATGTATTTATCAGTGCTGCCAAGGAACTCTTTAACCAGGATCAAGATAAGCTACAATGGAAAACCTTAAGGTAAGGTAGACACTTTATTATCCACTAATTGTGCCATTCCATCACTACCCATGATTTTGTCAACTATTTGTAGCCTATAATAATCTTTCATCTGTGTTATGTTTCTGCAACGGGTTGTCTGTAGGTAGGAGACAGTCTACTATAATTGTTTATACCCTGTACAGTACTGTACTGTATTGTACTGTACTGTAACTTGCAACTTATTAGTTTTATTTGAATATTGCTTAGACATTATAAGTATAAAAATATACAGTACAGCTCCTCCCCGACTTATGACCTACTCGACTTACAACCACCCGCACTTACGACCTGCCTCAGTCGTACCAAAATTTGGTAAAATTACGTATTTTCGAGTCCCAAAGTCGGTACACAGACAACATTTTTGTTTGTACCGTAATTCACTTTAAAATGGCTGGCAAGCTTAAAAGTGAGTGTTTTGTGGTGCTGAGAAGAAAAATAGACACCCATTTTCGATTTTCTATGTATTATTTAAGCATTTCCGACTTACGACCATTTCGACTTACGACCTGGATTTGGGTCCCTAACCCGTCGTAAGTCGGGGAGGAGCTCATGCACAATTTATTTATTTTTTATAGAAATGTCAATGTTGCATGTGCTCTTACAGTCAGCAAAGAAAGTTTAATGTGATGTATTTTTCAATTCAGGAATGCAGATTTCCGTGAGGTTACCTTGGAAGTCAATGAAGAAGTTGTGTTACGATTTGCACTGGCCTATGGCTTCCGAAATATTCAGAACTTTGTGCAGAAACTTAAGAGAGGGAAAAGTCACTATCATTATGTTGAGGTCATGGCCTGCCCCTCAGGTAAGACTTAGCAGTTTTTGTTGTCTTATACACCCTTACATTAGACACCTTAAATTGGACACAGTGCTTTTAATCATATTTGCCCCCGTTATTCTTATCCTGATCTTAAAAGGTTTTATATGCTTAGAGTAAGATTAAATTGAAACTGATTTATACTGTATAAGTGGCTTATACAGAATATGGGAAAGAGTGGTTTCCACAGCACGTGTGCTTTCCCACCATCTCTGACTTACCAAACACCATTGAGACTATTTACTATGAATTTAGGAACAGAATTTCATGATTTGCTCTATGGGTTTTTTCATTTCTATTTCTTACTACAAGTATTCTGACCAGGTATTAGATTATTTTAGTATACTAGGAGGGAATAGTACTTTAAAACCTCATTTTACAGAAAGGCACCCTGTGGGTTGGCATTAGGAAGGGCATCCATCCGTAAAACTTTGCTTCAATTTGCCGGATGTCAACCGGGTCACCAGAACTAGGCCCATCCCCTGTTATCTGTTGTATTTATTTCTTGGGATGGTACCCTGGGTTTGTGGTGGTGAACAGAAATTGGGCAGTGAATTCACAAAGTCATCAAGGTTGTTCTGGTGGAGTAAAGGTGTCAAATACTAAACAGCCAATCAGTACACAGACAACACCTCACATCTCTACCATGCCACACCTCCATCGGTGATCTCATGCTCAGCTTCCCCAGCTGTGAATTACATTGTCAGACTCATTAAAATTTGTATCACTCTACACATCCTACCATTTATAAACCCTGCTTTAATTATTGATTATTTTTGTGTGGTGTCTGACTTTTTATTGTATTAAAAATGTACGTACTGGTATTTAATCACAACATAAAGAACTGGAAAGCAATTTGCTCAGGCAATTAAGAACTACTCATACTCCCTTATGGTTAATTGACATTGAATTTTATTGCAGTAAAGTAACAGCTGTAGGAAACTTTCTTGACTTAGAGTGGATTAGGTTATAAGTAATGATGTTACTTGTCATCACCTCTCACCATAGGACACCTATGTGATTTTTTATGTAGAAATTGCATTGATGCAGAGACCCATGGAAGAATTGTTTTTTTACTCATTTGTCACACTGCTCTGAATCATGTCACATTAAACCATGTAAAAACTTGGGTTTTCTATAACCAAAATATTTTTACATTCAGCAGGCAACTGCATTTTATCGGTGTTATGATGTACTGTAATAGCAAATAATCTATCAAGTCTCTTGTGTTCTCAAATGCTGCAGTTAAGATTTTGTAATATCTGCATCTTGTCCATCTAACATATGTACTGTTCTTTATTTTCTCTTTGTGCTCTCCAACATTCCTTTATTGTTAAGTGTAACAATTATTTATTCCATTCTGACCTGCATTTAGCAGTAACTCGATTTCCAATCCCTCTTATCAATTTGTAATTCTACACCAATGCTTCACTACTCACCATAAAATGTTTAACATCCATTTTTTCTGTTTTTACAGGATGTTTAAATGGTGGAGCACAGATTCGTCCAGACAGTGGGACCTCAGTTAAAGATTTAATATCAAAATTAGAAGAAGCCTATGAACTGCTACCATCTGTTAATCCAAGTAATGATCTCAGAGTGGAAAATTGCTACTCAGAATGGCTTGGAGGAGCAGATTCAGAGAAGACTCAAATGCTTTTACACACAAAATATAAAGCTGTGGAAAAGACTACCAATGCTTTAGGTATTAAGTGGTAACAAAATAGTATTCTCTATATATATTTTGTATATATTTTACTGTATGTAGTATATTCTGCCTTCTTCTGTGAGATTCTGTTTTGATATTTCCTCAGGGAATGCAAATATCACAAATTGAAAATCAGTTGCACCTAACTGAGGGCAGAGCCAGATTTCTGAATAGACCAGCTAGGTCATGGTCTCGGGTGGCAGCTTACGGTGGGGTGTCAAACCTGTCACTAAGTTGTATATGTATGTACTGTACTTTCTATGTGTGTCGTGCACATTTATGCGGAGAAATAAAGCTATAAAGTCAACAGTACTGTACCTTCCAATGTTAATTAAACCATCCAAGTTATTTTTTAAAATATGAATACAAATGGCCTAGTGGACCAGTTCTTGCATTTAAACTACTACAGATTGAGTACTTTTCTGTTCTACTTTTACCAGTCCCTTCAGTCTTGGTAAGTTTTGCCTTTATTATCTATAACTTAAGGAGATAGAATTATGTCCCATGGAGTACTGTATGCACTTAAATTTTCAGAAAAAATAATAGGCATGTTGTACTCCAAATTTTGGGTTGTGTTTATTTTGGTTAATGGTGTGCTGATTTCAATACCATGTCATTTGTCACATGGCCAGGAGAGGGCATTCCTCCCAATTTTTAGGTTTCCTGGTAATGTAGATTTAATATGAGAAAAGGTCTCACAAATGGTCTATTAAATTTATCATGAGAGACTTTATCAATTCTGTATAACCTACATGCTTCCCATTGTATTTTGCATATAGGAAATGCTAGCCTAGCATACAGCAGCCAATATTCTGGATTACTGTATAGGGGGCCCTCCAGTTTGCGGATTTATATTTCGTGGTTCTCTATTATTCTCGGATGACACCCTGGATGTAACCAAGAATGTCTGTGGGTCGTTTTAAAGTTGCCGGCATAATCAGAAAAATGTATTAAAAATGTGACGGTCTACCCTCAAATCCGTGCTTTATGACTTTAGCTGCTGATCTATATGTGATTAGCCCATTATGCAGATAAACTAGGTACTGGGGGTGCCCCCCCAAGTTCGCGGATTTTTACTTCGTGGATCTCGGTTATTCGCGGATGATACCCTGGATGTACCCAAGAATGTCTGTGGGTAGTTTTAAAGTTGCCGGCATTTTTGCGGTTGGGACAGAAAGCCATTCGTTCTAGAGACAGTAATTTCCTTTACCTGTATTGTAAATACATGTGTGTGTGTACAAGGTCTGTCCAAAAAGAAACCGAACTGTTTAAATAGCGCGTCAACGAGCCGGCGCAGCGTGCGCGCGACGGGAGCACTGTGTAGCGGTGACCTTGACCTTTAGTCTAACACTAGCCGCATCTCGCCACGTCAATTAGTCATCGAGCTACACCTGCTAGAGTGAACGTGTTTAGTGCACTTGGCGATTTGTTGCAAGTTGAACAATGAAGGATCTTGAAGAGCAACGTGTTTGCGTGAAATTCTGCTTCAAATTGGGAAAAACTTTTAAGGAGACTTTTCAAATATTGCAACAGGCTTATGGGAGGATTGTTTGAGCCGTATGCAATGCCAGGTGTGGTACCAGTGTTTCAAAAGGGGAAGAACATCCACAGAAGACGATCCCAAATCTAGAAGTCGGAATCGCTCAAATGTGGAGGTGATGTTGATCGTCTTTTTTGATTGGAAGGGCGTCGTTCATCGTGAGTTTGTTCCACGTGGTCAGACAGTCAATAAAGAGTGTTACTTGGAGGTCCTGAAGCACTTGAGGGAGGCAGTGTGAAGGAAGAGGCCTGAGGCGTGGACAAACAAGACCTGGATGCTGCACCGTGACACTGCACCTGCTGACGCGTCGCTCCTTATCCGTGACTTTTTGGCGAAGCACGAGATGACTATCGTCCCCAGCCGTCCTATTTTCCGGATTTGGCCCCTGCGGACTTTTTTTTTCCAAAAGTTGAAATCCACTGATACAAGAGATGGAAGAAAATTCGCTGCGAGACCTGCACACCATCCCTCAAAACGTGTTCCAAGACGCATTCCAGAACTGGAAAAAAATGTTGGGAGCAGTGTATCAACAAATCTGATTAAGTTGTAAGTAAAGCAATAAAATTATTTTTTTAAAAGTTTGGTTTCTTTTTGGACAAACCTCGTAGATACTGTCTAGCACTCAGGATGGATGGAAACTCTAAGGTGGTTTTCTTGTATAATATAAGTTATATGATAGACAGTCTGGTGCTGGAGGTGCCGTGTGGTGAGGAGCTGCTCAGTAGAGATGTTCGGTGAGTAGCGTGTTGAAGGAGGGAGATGTGCAGGAGCTTCGTTAGAGAAGATGTTGCCTGTTGCTGGCCTCCTGGTTGAATGAATGCTGACAGCGTGGAGCTTGCTGGAGGAGGTGTTGCGTGTTCAGGAAGATGGGCAGAATGAGAGCTGGTTGGTGAGGAAGCTCAGAGAAGGACAGCTGGTGGGTCGCCATGCTCGCTGGCGGGAGCGAGGACCGCCAGGCAGGCGAGGAGAAGCGAGGGCCGCCAGGCAGCGGCGGAGGAGGAGGTGTTGCTTGTTCAAGAAGAGGAGACCAGAATGAATCTCAGTGGAGAGACAGAGCTTATATACCCAGCAGCCGTGAGTCCTCTATGAGTCATGTTGGGAAAACCCGAGAAAGTCGCCCGTCTCTAGTTCCGTTGCTAGGTTATGGTAACATCTGCTGTAGCCGCTCGCTTGGTTGCTAGGATACGGCGGCGCATCGGAATGCGGATACGCAGTTGTAGGGGAGACGTCCACCACAATACACACACAAAACACAACCAATAAATAATAATTGGAAAATCCTCTCATAAATAATCAGAAACAAATTTATTGAAAATGTGACAGTCTACCCTCAAATCCATTCTGTATTACAGTACTTAATAGAGCACGGACTTGAGGGTAGACTCGCATTTTTAATAAATTTGTTTCTGATTATTTGTGAGAGGATTTTCCAATTATTATTTATTTGAATGTGTTTTGTGTGTGTTTACACACACATGCAATACTATAGGTAAAAGAAATAATTGTCCTAAGGGCAAACACATAAAAGGAATATACATCTCTCTGTACACTAGTAAAAATGTAACCCCCACCCGGTCCGCAAATGTTATTTGGGTGTTTGGCGATTCGCAGCCAATTTGAGAACCCAACCCTCGAATTTGGGGGCCCCCTGTACTTCACTTGGTGCTTAAATGGATAAAATAGTGTAAATTGGCCACCAATCAAATCTGAATGTTTATGATTGTGTCCATGGCTCACCAAAACAGTAGCCGGATTATTTTAGAAGAAATTATGATTATCGTCATGATTATATCTTATGTATTCACGATATTAAGCAATAACATTTTATTTATCCACCTCTAGTCAGCTTGGTGATTCCTTTGAAATGTTGCCAACTTGACACCGACTGACTAAGTTGGCGGTTTAATGTAAATATAAATTACCTGCACCAAACATGGGGCACTAATTTTGGTACACTGTAGACTTCCGTCTTGTCAAGCTCACATTAACGCATCTCGCACTATATTTGACAGCATTACCTGTACATATCTTGCATTTTTCAGTGTTCACTCTAATCTCAGTGATGGATCAGTGGTGGGGGAGGGGGGGGGGTCACTCACCTGACGTCAGGTTAGAGATACGTCGTGACAACTCGTCCCCTACTAACCGTAAATGGGCCTGAGATATCATCTGGACAAAAAGGGACGGATTAAGGAAGGGGGTATGGCATACAGTAACATTTGACGTCTTTTAAACAAAATTTTGTTCTATTACTTCTGCTCGCTGGTTCCCGTGTCGCTGAGCGGTTTATATTGACATTTAAGTAAAAATCTTTTGGGAAATTTAAAAATTTATTAGAAGGCAGCGTTTTAATTTCTTTGCGTTCTATATTACTTCCTTCAACAATGTTCATTGTTTGACTATTATTCCTTGATTTTGTTCTACTATACTATGTTTATATTATGTTAATGATTCCCTCCTGAGCAGTGACGTATATAGAGAAAGGGGTGCCCATGGCTGAATACCCCCACACTCACACACACATTTGCTACTGTTTTCAAATTATTCAACCTAAAGCAACCAGCTCGCGAGTGTAAGTAGAAATAAGTTAATAATCAATCTCATAGCAGAGGGGGAAGCCGCCAATAGATCGGTAAGTTCCACTAGTCAAAGTGGAAGGAAATCAAATAATGTTCCGTTTTTGAGTCGTTGGCCCCCTTTCCTGAAATGTATTATGTACCACTGCTCCTGAGGTTTATACAGACATTTCCCTATCTACGATGGCTTTAATGTTCACTTTCAGAATGTGTGTTGGAAAGTGAACTAATGAAGTGTTGGAGAAGAGATTTTATACAAAATTTTCGCCGCTGGCACTGACATTACGTTCATCAGGTCTTGGTGTAATAACTAGTGAAGTTACTGCTCTCATATGAAGGTATTTAGCATTTTCTTTTATATTTTTCCAGGGGTGCCTTCGGTAATTTAGCACTTCTTCATTGTCAAATGTTTTCCGATTGTAGAGCGGGTAAAAAAAAAAACATATTGATCTTTTGACGGAAGTTGTATAATATACAACTCTGTTTCCCAATACATTTCCATTCGAATTAACTGGCGATTGACCCGAATCTGGCTGTCAGTTTAGTTTGTCAAGAGCAGTCTGGGTAAGCTATGTTTATGCCAGTAAGCACAAACCAACTAATAACAGTTCGACCCAACTTAACCAATCTAACATAAGATTTAGTTAGTATTACTAGAAATAGATTTAGCTTAGAGTGGTTATGTTTAGTCACTGACCCTTAATTTATTTATATAATTATTCAGTACTTATACACAATGAAAACCAACAGAGTTTAATCTCATAATTTTTATTTTAATGTTAGAATAGTGTAATTACTAACCTTGTTACGTGCTTAAAGACCTTCGTTTTTGAAGCCCAGTAATATTATAACAACTGTAAAATGTGTGGTCTTTTTACTGTCTCGGATTTCAAGAAAATTTTATGTTATTTCAGTTATTTATAATTTTCCCTTCACCTCTTACAGTTTATCCGCAGCAAAAATAATAATATAAAATAATTACTTGTAGGACTTTCAAATGATAGTTAAATACTAGAGGTCTGTACTGAGTGAAAATAAAATTTGAATGTTCTCTCTTATGTCAAAATTATTTGCAATTACTCAAAAAACTGGCATAGAATTACCTTACTCTGCATTAAGTGATTACAGATGCATTTTTTTTTGCATAGAAATAATGAAATAAATATTATAACAGCCTGCGAGTCTGTAGCT